GGACACTGAACTGCACTCTAATCAAATTCACAGAAAATCCTCAAGAGGCCGAATCGTGTCAAGGTTTCATCCAGCCTTTGAGACATGTTAGTGGGGAAATGGGAACATCTTGAAAAAACATTTATTTGAGGTTTTTATGAATCAAAGCGTTTTGCTAAGCGAATTGTAACAAAATATTTTAAATACATATTTTCATCCAGTTGGTATAAACTCTGTGTAATTAAGAAAGTAAATAAATAAAATAAGAAATATCATTCCTTCCATCTCTGTTATACCCTGAATTCCACTAGATTGAATCCACCATAAATTGTAAATGAACTCCTGCACACTGTCATATTGGAATTCAGGGTATAACAGAGATGGAAGGATTGATATTTATTTGGTCTTATTTGGTATTATTTGAAAATTACCCCCAGAGTCTGCGAGAGTGGGGTTGGAAGAAGACTCATCGGCTGTCATTATGGTAACAGACCTTGGACAGGAATCGACTATGAGAAAAGAGAGCACAGAGCAAGAGAGCGCCTTAAAACATCTGCAGCGACAGGCCACAAACTGCAGATATGTGCCAGTGGGTGGAGGACAGTTACTTCACTCTTAGGCTTGAGGATTCATCAGGAAAAGAAAGTGTGTTGTAGAGAAGGGAGACAGAGACCTTGCATCACTTTTCAAGAAAAGTTCAAATTATTCCTACAATTTTAACACGTCACTTCCGTTTTCCACCTGCCTGCACACATTTCTACTGTCTGTCCCATAGTCTGTCCTAAATGAGAAATAAGCATCAAAAATTAGAGCTTTACTGTTTCTCGTGAGGAAACAGGAGAAAAAACACACCAGGTGATTTTGTTTTTGTTTTAAAAAGGTGAAACAAAAAAACACGTCTTTCAATATTCACAAAAAAAGAGGAATAACCAACAATGATTTTTCATTTAAAAACAGAATGAAAAATTAGGGTTATTTTGTTTTTGGATCATAAATGAATTACAGATTGCTCAATACCCTGACCCCTCTCTCTCTCTCTGTTGTTTTAGTTTGCACATAATTAATGCTCACTGTGCTATTTGTTACACATTTGTTGGTAACCTTCAGTCTTATAAATGCATCATAGGTAAATGCCAAAAAACATTCAAATTTGAAAGAAGATCTATTTTGTGTCAACATGCAGTTCTCGCTTGTGATTTTTAAATAATAAGAGAGCGAACAGCCTCTATATTCACGGAGCATTGGAGTGATGGGGAAAGCAAGGCACCTTTTGAATGAGAGAGCACTGTATATTCTGTATAGTTCACTTGTGTTACCATATTCAAATTACTGTGTGGAAGTATGGAGCAACACCTACAAAACCACCTTACAATCACTAAGCACACTACAAAAAAGAGCCATTTGTATAGTAAACAATGTTGGATATTATGAACACACAACTATACTGTTTTTAAAATTACACACCTTAAAGTTTGGGGATCTGGTAGAATTTAAGACTGCACAAATAATGTATAAAGTAAAAAATAAACTGCTACCTGTAAACATACAAAAAGTGTTCAAAGACAGAGAGGGGGGTTATAACTTTAGAGGGAAACTAAACTTGAAACAGCATTATGCTCGGACCAATTTAAAAAGTATGTGTATTTCCATTTGTGGGGTGGTTTTGTGGAATAGTCTTGATGAAACGATTAAACAAAGTATGAATATAATGCAATTTAAAATAATGTACAAAAGATATATTTTTGAAAAGTGCAGAAATGAGGAAGGAGAATGTAAATCTCACAGCTGTTAATGACGCCTGTTCATTTTGTTCTTTTTTTTTGTTTGTTTTTGTTTTGTTCTGTTTTTCTTCATAGCTCGATTGGAGTATTTTTTTTTGTATTGTCCGTTTAGTTTATTTAATTGGATTTTGCATTTGTTAATGGTGAAGAATGGGGGTAGGACTTGACAAGCCTAGGCTCCTTCCTATCCCTTTTCGAACGAGTCAGATGTGTATTATTTTGAAATTGGCTTTTTTTATTTATTTATTATATTATACAGATTTTTATTTTTTTCCATTTGTTTATTCATTTTCATCAATTTTTTAATCGTTAAAAATCAAGAAGAAATATATCCATGTGTTGAGGGATGTTGGCCATAAAGAGGTTTCATTTGAGCAAATCCAGCCCCCTGACCGAGTGAGTTACCCCTCTGACCTCTGACCTAAACAGTAATCTGACATCACTACAGATTACCAGACTGTCAGAGTCACAGTGAGTGAAGAAGTGCTCAAGAGTGTTTTATTGAAGTACAGAAAGAGGTCAAAGTACTCCACACTCACAGATGTATTTCATGTTTTATTTCAACAGGATCATGTTATTATGTTATATAGCAGAGTTATCTTAAAGCTATTCATCATTCAGGATCACCTTCAATCATGATTACGCTCCAGGATCTGAAACCTCAAGCATGACTGAATCATCCACAGGGGGGCGCCACAGAGCTGCAAGGAGGCAGAGATACTGCAGGAGATGATGTCAAATATCCTCCTCCTCTTCCTCCTCCTCAAAGTGAGGAACAGTCAGGTTAATATAGTTCATAGAGACTTTTATTTAAGGAGCACATTTCAAGACAGAAGCAATGAAAAATATAGGTGAAACAATAAAACAGTAAAGTCAAAAAGTGCACAAAGGAGTTTTGATAAAATGTTCTATCAGCTGAAGAGGCAAGTCAATGAAAATGAAAGGTGCTCTTTGTCTTGTGAGAAGTTATGCTGCGGCTTTTAGGCAAGTAAAAAAAAAAGGCATGCCAATAATCCAGATATGAAGAAATAAAAGCATGAATCATTTTCTTCTGTGTTGTTAAAAGGCACATTTGACCGGAACTTTTAGATGTTCCTAACTTCATGGATTGAACCATTGTCAAACTTAGGTCACTATAAGGGTCCAGTCTGTATTTTTAAGATATAGAATATAAACAGACATAAGGAGAAAATATTTGATTCCTGAAGTTTCTGAAGCAGAAATCTAAACTTCATGTTCCTGTATTGAAAGTGTTCAGTTAGTTAGTTTCAAACTCCATTAAAGTCAAGTTTATGAAGTGCATCTGGAGCTTCATGTAGGAGGGTGTAAAGAAAGAAACGTGACCTGTAAAAAAAGAGTTTCAAGTTAAATATGTTATTATATCGATACTTTACGAGACATTTGAATCCTGATCAGAGTTTGACCAGATATCTGTTTTCTTCCTCAAGAAACTCTCTCTCTCACACACAAACAAACACACACACACACACACACACACACACACACACACACACACACACACACACACACACACACACACACACACACACACACACACACACACACACACACACAGTGTTCAGCCTGGTACAACAGTAAACAATAAGACAAAAGCTCTCTGTCCTCTGCAGGCGGATCAGACCCACAGCGTTCCTGTCCTCAGTCTGACTGCAACACCAGGACCCTTCCAGGACCAACCAGGACTCTCCAGGACTATCCAGGTACCTCAAGGACTATCCAGGACCCTCCGGGACTATTCGGGAGCGTCCAGCATCATGGAGCCTAAACGTGTGTCACTGTCCTCTCAGCAGCAGCAGCAGGCTCGGCTCAGGATAAGGGTAAAATAACTTAACTCTCTGCAGGTATCTGACAGCTGCATTTACATCAACATTAACATTGAAGTAAAATATTTCTATTTAATATTACAGTCAGTAGCCACTGCAATCAATACAGTCAGTACTACAGTCAGTACTCCAACTACGGTCCGTACATTGAGGACTTCAGTCAATTCAGTCAGTAGGCTACTGCAGTATAAATGTGTGTCTTAATCCCCCCAGATCTGGTCTTTTGAACTACATGCGTTTCCACAAAATCCAGGGTAGAAATGTAGTTCTGGGGTAGAAGATCTACCCCCCGAAAAAAGACCCTGCTAGGGTTATGTACTTTCTAACAGCGACTTTTGACAATACGGCATGCAGCCCCTGGAGTGCTGAAAGGCTCTGATTGGTCAGACGCAGCAGGGTGTTATATTGCCGACTGTGTTTAAAAGACTGCCGCTGAAAGCCCATTGTTTGACCCCCAACTTTATTTTACATTTATAAAAAGGTACAAAACACATTATTATAGACTAAGCATGAAAAAAATGAATGAAACATAACTAAAAATACAAATAAACAGAAAAGCAAACCACAAAAGAAGAAGAGTCAGAGGTCTAATCTGGAATTATACTTTACAGTTTTGTTTATCTCTTTAACGTGTTTAGTTTAATTTAAGTGTATATTAAGTTATTCACTCATTTATGAATAACTTGGTTTGACTTCTACAGAATTAATCTACATTTAAGTTGGCCAAAATAATGAGGGAATTGTGTACATTTTCATTTTAGTCTCCATTATAAAAAACATCTTTGATAATATAATATTCTGACTTTGATGACTGTTAATCTTTTTCATAAATCCAATTTTAAAATGATCCCTACAAAGATCTTGCATATTCACAATCAGATGTTCTAAAGTTTAAATGTCTAGTCAAGAAAAATACTCCCCCCCCACCCAATATTAACTTTAAGAAATGTATGATTAATATAATTTATCTTCCTAAAAGGTGTTTCTTAGGTGTTAGGTGAAATGAGGAGAGTGAGGTATCCAGTGTTAAGAATTTTAACATTTTGAGTCCTCTTTCCCGTTTAATGACACACTAAACATTGTTAATCAATTAATCCATTTGCAAAGCAATACAGTCTGATTTGCATAATCGTCCCGGGACTTCAGGCAGCGGTGGCTTTAGCAGGAACCTTTCAGTTCCTTTAAGAAAAGCCCCCTGAACCTTTTAGTTCTGGGGACCTTCGGTTGAAAATGGGCTTTATGGTCTTACTGAGAGGTTCAAGGTAAAATGTTTCCCAGTGGAGGAAACAGCGCTACTCTGTGTTTAGACTGCAGTCAGCGGTCACACGGGGTAGGACAGTCTGTGGGTAGGAGGACCTGCAGCTCCGCTGTTATTCAGCTCCTCCGCTCCGGCTCGGGCGCTAATTGCGCATGCGCAATGAGATGAATGGCCGCTGCACCTGACGGGCCACCAGGAAGTGTGGCGGACAAATCCTCGGCCGTTAATCCCCGATCGACACTGACAGTAGCATGTTCAGCGGGCTGCACCACTCAGAGTGACCGTCAGCAGCGTCTTCGCTCCGGGCTCGGCCTCCGGGATCGCGCCGCTGACTGTCCGTCTCCTCCCTCCCGCCTGCCGGGCTTCAGACCCCACTGCTGCCGAGCTGAAGCTCCGTGAAGCTCCGTGAAGCTCCGTGAGGTCCGGGCACAGTCACCCTGACTGCAATGGGATGCTGCGGTAGCACGGAGGTAAGAACGGGACGGCCCGGCCCGGCTCGACTCGTCCCCATCCTCTCCCCCCCCCCCTCCTCCTCCTCCTCCTCCTCCTCCGGTGTCCTTCAGCGGAGCCCCGATGTTTGTTTGTACTATCACCGGGGAAAAGGGAGAGCGGAGCCGGGGAGCGGAGAGGGCCGAGCTGGGATTAGAGCCAGCGGCTGTAATCCAATTAGAGTCAGGAGGGTTACTGGGGGCCTGCTAACGGGACCGGGGCCAGGCGGGTTACCGGGGCCTGCTTACGGGACCGGTGCCAGGCGGGTAACCGTGGCCTGCTAAAAGCTGCAGCTCTCTTTGTGTGATGTGATTTGAGATGAAAGCCGAGCCGAGCCGAGCCGAGCCGAGCCGAGCCGAGCCGTGCTAACAGGCCGGGGACAGGCTGAGGGGTGGGCACGGCTCGGCCCGAATCCCGGCGTGACCGTGTGTGTGTGTGTGTGTGTGTGTGTGTGTGTGTGTGTGTGTGTGTGTGTGTGTGTGTGTGTGTGTGTGTGTGTGTTGTGTGTGTGTGTGTGTGTGTGTGTGTGTGTGTGTGTGTGTGTGTGTGTGTGTGTGTGTGTGTTTTTTCAGAGGACAAAGAGAGAATGGAGACCGCTGGAGGACCGGAGCTCCACAGACCTGCCCTGGTTCCTGCTCTTCATCGTCTTCTGCGTTGGCATGGTAACCACTGCACTCACACCTGACCTGTCCTCATCATGACTATCCTTACACACCTTTATACCTGTGTGACATCACAGCAGCTTCACTAGATGTGTGAAAGAGGAACCAATTGTACTCTGAAAATCGATAAACTGTATTTTGACAAACAAATGATAAACAAATCGTGTTTGTGATGAGTCACAGCTGATTCAAATCAAAGTAAAGTTGCTGAATACTCTGCTCACAGCTTATGAGAAACATCCTACTGGTGGATTTTTATGATTTTATTATTTATTATAATTTATGCTCATATTTCCTTCAGTCTGAAAGCTTCATCTGATTCTTAAATTACATCTTCACTGACTTTTCGGCATCTCTCGCTCTTTCTGTTTGTTTTTTTTTCAGGGCAGCATCTGTGGATTCACTGTTGCCACCGGCGGCGCCGCACGTCTCGTATACGGATATGATAGCTATGGCAACACCTGTGGTCAACGCAACGAGCAGATCGAAGGGGTCCGGCTCAGTGGGCTCGACCACACGGACAGAAAGTGAGTTTGATTTCATTACAGCGTGTGTTCCGCTGTGTTTACTGCCATGTTCATAATGTGTTCCAGGCAGACTTGTACTGTGGTCACTATACCACAATTATAACTTCAATACGACTCCAGTTCAAATTAAACGATATCTTTCCCCACTTTCGTTACCACGGTAACAAAAAAAGAAGCTCTTGGCACCAATATAGGGTGAATTCATGTTTTGTATTGACTGACATTTTCAGACAAACTCCTGCACACTGTCTAAATTCTGCTAGGAATCTTCTGCCAATGTTTTTGTGCAATTAAGACAGAGTGCAGGTGTTAATTTACAATTTTTGATGGATTCATTCCAGGGGTGGGCCTCACTCCTTTACAGGAAGGAAGATTCATTCAGATTTGACACTCTAAAGCAGGGGTGTCAAACCAGCAGGTTCAGTCAGGCTGCGAGACCATTTTGAGGAGAAAGGGGAACATTTTGAAAATGATACAGTAACTTATTTGAACGTGGTGCTTTGGACTATCTTCTCAGCAGGGTGTAACGTCATGTACAAAGAGGAGTTGCTGTGCACATTGTGCTGATGCTGCAAAACCCTAGCTCAGCACAATGTGCTATATCCAAAAAGAGAGGTTGACTCAGAAAATGCAGGATATTTGAAGAGAGATGGAAGAACGGTATTTCTTTGGTGATATTATCAGAGCTACAGGACTTAACAACCGGCGCAGAGCTGCAGTGCACACCCCCATCCTTATGGAGTTAAGTTCCTTCCTTCCACACTTGAGTATTTTGCAAAGACAAATTAGCATGAGACATGTTTCACTGATGATAACAAAAGCTAGTTTCCCAGAGTGAGCCTTAATGAGCAGCTCGCCCAGTCAAAAGAAAAGCTCATAACCATACTGCCTAACAGCTGCCTGCACACATGCAGATGAAGTGTATGCCTCTCGAGGTCGAGCTTCTGGCATCTCCAGACAGATTTAAACCTTGATTATTATCATAATAGTGATGTCAAATTAATATTTACAGACTTTATCTACACTTTGCCTGCCCCAGACTAACAACACACTACAAGGTATCGGGCCGATTATCCAATTCATTGTAAATATTGATTTACGATTGTGTGGGGAGAAGAGGGGGGGGGGCTGAGGAACAGCTGAGCATGGATTCAATCCATTGTTACGTAGAACGGAGCTATAGCCAATCAGGAAGCAAACTGACTGAAGTAGGAATCATCACAACCAACATAACCATGGCAACAACAGCATAAAGTTCGGTGGATGTCATAAATGGAGGACCAACGTTTTGGTTTATACAACATGTTAAACATATCACAATCGAACTTCCAAGGACAGGACGGCTACTAGCGTGATGGATGTACCAGCTAACAGCTAGCCATATTTAACTTGACTATCGTGTTTGTTAAATCTTAAGTCCCGTTTGACCGTGCAAGATTACACGTTTTGATAGTCGAGACCCTGGCTGTTGGTGAATGAATCTTTTCGTGTGTGATGTGCTGAGTTGGTTAAGAACTAAACTGTTAACGCTTGTGAATATTTGTCATCATGTGTGTGGGTCTCTTTCTTTCTCAAAATCGTTTAAGAATTTGAAAATCTTTCTGTGTGTGCGAAGCTTAACGTAGTCAAACCTGATTCGTCAGATTTTGCACACCGTTGACTGATTGTCAAATGGTTTTTTTTTGTTTGTTTTTGCGTTCATTGGTCCAAATCCTCATTTGCATCATTAAACTATTTGTCATCGAGACTTGGAATAACAATTTATTCTATGATAGGACTCGATCACTCGATTCTTTTGATGACACCTTATTCAGCCATTTATGGTCGTTGACATGCTGTTTCCAGCCTGTAACAGCCAATGAGGGCTCGAGTAGAAGAAGGTGCCCGCCTCTGCCAACAGAGCCAAGCTGATGTTTTTAGTAGCCAATGAAAGTCTTTAAAACAAGAATATGCTTCTGTCAATACTTGAGGCGTGATTTCTTCATGCACACACTGAGGAGATTGAGTTAGCGGTTTTCATAATTGCATTAAAGAAGCACTCACTCTGCCCGTAACCGATCCGACTGCAGAGCGCACTGATGAAAGATAAAATCACGTCTGCTCGTTTGGAATTATTTTATCAATGCCTCACACAGAATGGCTAAAATATGACAGTGTTTGCATCCAAATACTTTCTGTATACTTTCCCAGTGATTAACCTTAAAAAAAAGTTTAAACTGAGCATTTGGCTGACGCATACACAGACATCTGAATGACAACTGAAATGACGTGACGTGGTTAGGCTGGTAAAAACCAAAAGGTGTCAAGCGTCGACCAACAATCACATGTCAGTGTTCTCTCCTCCCCCCTGCTAGCCATAGCCATCTTCCTCTTTCTCTCCCTGACTCATTCCCTCTCTTTTACCTCTCTGTGCTCTGCTGTGGAGTTGTGTGCATCTCCTATACTGTTAATTATTTTCAAGTGCCAACATGCAGATTTTTTCAGTGCAGAAATGTTGCACTTTGTAGCTGTAACCTTCAGTCTTATGAATTCAACATCTTTGAAATAGCTCCTTTTTTTTCACGTGTTTTTAGGATGGCATAATATTTTCGGTGTGACTTGTGCAGATGTGTTGCTGTTAACCCCTCTGCTTAATGTAATTTTTTTTTTTTGTTGTGTAAGCATGTAGTGCTGCTCACTTTAATACATATACCTCGTATTGAATGATTTTAAATGAAACAGCTAGCAGCCTATCTATCCATGTGTACAGACAAAGTGATGCTGGCCAAAAATAGTCAAGCCCCATGAAGGTCTCATTCAAACAAATCCGTTTGAACCAAGCCATCACTCCCACTGTGAGGTCATTCAAAGGGGTATAGACGCTGTGACTGTGTGAAGAGTTGTTTGATATACAGGTCTGCTGCTTGCTAACGATATTAGCACAGGTTTCGCTTTGCCATTCCTTTTTTTTCCTTCCCAAACTTTTATTGAAATTGTACAAATGTACAAAACAAGTACAAAAATATGCCATTTACATTTATTTTCATTACTTAATGATTTCCAATGGCACCATAGTTATCAAACGAACATCTCATAAAATAATGATAATAGAAAGCAGAACCACAAAACACAATAACGAAGAAGTATCACAATACATGTGCATGTTTTGTTGTGGTGGTACTGTTTTGATATTGTGTGCTGTTTAAGTGTTGTGTTCGGTGTGTAACAGTTCACAGGGGTCAAGGTTCGGTTTTGGGGTCACGCTTCGGTACGAATTCTGTTCAACAGGAAAACAACAAAAAGTCCTGGAAGCATATTTCTGTTTTATTCTGAAGCAGCAGTCATGGAAGTTACAGTTTGTTAAGAACTACCTGATAGTAGGTCATGTCGTGTATTAAACATTGAACAATAAAAGAGGAAGAACACATAAAGAAAACACCTAATTTGAACGGTCTGGTATATAAAAAAAAAAACCTCATGCCTTTGGGAGTGATGTGGGAGTCTGAGGTCCGTACAAAGAACAACATTAATATTACTATTACCAATATGAATTCACATCATAAAGTGTGCAGTCACAGCAGACTGGTTTATGTGCACACAGGCTGGGACAGTGTAACAAGGCTTGAACACTTTTAATACACACTTTAGACTTGGATCCTCTACTACTGGAAACGTGCATAGCTTGAAAAAAAAAAAGTAGCAGACCCTCTCTGCTCTCACCTACAGAGTTTTGTTGATCGGCTCCTCCAGGTGATGCCGTGTTATCTTGCAGCTTCACCACTTTATGTTGCTGCTATGTCACTCTTCTCTTTTGTGTTTTACTGTTGTTTCCACTTTTTCTTAGTTTGTTTTTTTAATAGCGATTAGCAAACAGTTACGAGCAGATTACCGCCCAGCTAGACTTCTGTGTGATTGCCTTTCATCTCAACTTTTATAAGATGTATTTGTCGTGTGACTGCAGGCATTCAACCTTGACGCTTGTACAGTAACGGTTTGGGACAAATACAAAAAAATGTTACCTATGTGTTACTGTTTATTTGTTGCCGTTCTGTTTTCTTTTGTTATTATTGTCTTGTTGTGGTGGTGGTCTTGTTTTACTGTGGTGGTTCTGTCTTGTTGTGGTTGTCCTAGTTTGCCAGGTGGTTCTGTTCAAGATGGACACACATGGAAGAATCACACATGCTGCGTTCAATGTCTGGTGAAGTTTTGAGTGTTGATTGTGCTGGCGGAGAACGGCTGTTCTCTGGAAAAGGACGACTGGCTTTTAATTTGAAGGGATGATCCCAGATTCACTAATGACACACCTGTGGGGGAAAAAAACTGCAGGCGTGCGGTGCAGTGACGTACTGTGCTTTGTATCCTGCAGGTTTGTGTTCTTCTTGGACCCGTGTAACATCGACATCGTTCAGAGGAAAATCAAATCTGTGGCTCTGTGTGTGTCTCTGTGCCCCCCTGAAACCATGAACACCTACCAGGACCTGCAGAGGTTCGCCATGATTAACGGTGAGTCACATAATTCACAGCACACCTGGGCTACGTTCCCTTCAATGCTTCATCCATCCATCCTTCACTTATATCCATTGCTTGCGTCTTAGTCCCTCCCACCGGGGGATGCATAGTTAGGAAACAAAGAGTTTAAGGAGACACAGCGCTCTTTCAGGGGAAACGTCACGTTTAGCGACGTCTGATTGCGATAATGGCATCAGCTGATCACTGCTGGATCAGCTGTTTGTCTGCTTTAGCCTCAGTTTGTGTCTGCAGAAATGCAAACTGTCTTCATTCTAATAAAAAAAACACACACACACAAATCATAAAGATAACAACAATAAAGGTAAAACTACAGAAAACACATCACAATCATACATTAAAAGCTTGTTTAAAGAGGTGAGTTTTGATAAGTGATTTGAAAGTAGGAGGATCGGTACAGTGTTGAATGTGTGTAGGGAGTGAGTTCCAGAGGGGGCGGCTGCTATGGAGAAGGCTCTCTCTATACAAACACAATAACAGTGTTTGTATGATACCTGATTACAATCACCAGCACATGAAGAACAAACTCTGCTAGAAAACATAAATACAAAAAAGAGTAAGCTCTAGACCGGCACGCTCTGGAAGGTGTCTTGAGATAATATTTTGTATACATTTGCCATATTCATTAATGATTGATTCATTGATATGTCATTTCTACAGGCACAATATTTTATGAGGCCTATTAAATTATGTATTTATTATTTGATTTCTATTTGCTGATAATCTAATGGTGAACTCTATATTTTATAACCACAGATACATTATATCGTCTCAGGAATACTGAAAGCTTTTTAAGAGAAAACACAACACATATAAGACTTATATAAAATGTTATTATGACTTTTAATGTAAAACGGGCTTCTTGCTGACAGACTCCCACTCTGTGAGACTTTTACTCTCTTTATAATTGAATGAAAAAGGTGAAATAACTGATCACGAAGAGAAAATATTGATTTTATAATTATGTAGGAGTTGTTTGTGATCTTTTGATTTTAAGACCTGAAATGAACAGATTTTGTGTTTGATGGTGATTCCAACAATGAACTGAAATTAGTAGTAAAATATTGATGTTTTGTTCTACTCATGTTATGCACTTTTTAAAAATCCCAGCTCATCATACAGCCCAGGTCCACCTACTCTCTGGAAACTTGTGTTTTTACATTTTTTAAAAAAGCAATCTGTTTCAGCGTCTGTTTTAGTGTCTGTCTAGGATAGGATAGGATAGGATAGTACTTTATTGATTGAGGGGAATTCGGGCGTTGCAGCAGCACAGACAAGTAAGAAGGTCATACAAAATACACATTGAACGGAATAGATTAGATAAGATAAATAAAAATAGGGGGTATATACATGTACAAAATGAATGATGAAGTTAACTATGCAGGGAAATGAGACAGTATGTGCAGAGAATGACAAGATAAAGTGACAAGTGATGATTAAAGTGACTCGGTATGATCAATAGCAGCAAGTAATGTAAACAGCAGAGAAGAGAGGCAGTGTTGTAGCACGGTAATGCAGAGTGCAGTTATATAATATAATATAATATAGTACAATATAAACAATATGGTTTAATATAATGAAATGTAATACAATATATGATATAGACTAATATAATAAAATATATATAATAAGAATATACAGTATAGATAGATGCTAAATAATAATAATACAGTATAATAATGCAGATTATTAATTTAGACCACTCATGGATCGTGTGTGTGTGTGTGTGTGTGTGTGTGTGTGTGTGTGTGTGTGTGTGTGTGTGTGTGTGTGTGTGTGTGTGTGTGTGTGTGTGTGTGTGTGTGTGTGTGTGTGTGTGTGTGTGTGTGTGTGTGTGTGTGTGTGTGTGTGTGTGTGTGTGTGTGTGTGTGTGTGTGTGTGTGTGTGTGTGTATAAAGTGATGTCACCAGTACTACGGATGCTTGCTGTCACGTGATGATGATGATGATTTGAAGTCTGCAGAAGTGTTCATGTATACAGTGCTACACACACACACACACTCTGTACAGTAACAAAGGCAGTTGTTGTGTGTTGTGTCTTGGTGCCACTGTGCTCCATTTGTCCTCCATCATGGCTGCTGTCAGTCTGTTCACTGTTAAACGTGATGGACGATTCATCAAGTGACCTCACAGCTACTGAGCGGCCATGTTGTTTATGAAAGAAACCTCTGTGACAGAAAAATAAAGGAACAACATGCTAAAGATGTTAGCTTAGCATAAATGATCAGGTTCCACATGCTAAATATGTTATCTCATCCTTCCATAAAGGATCAACCATGTTAAATAATTTAGCCTATGGTGATGAAGAAGATGATGGTGGTTGTTGGTGATGATGAAGAAGATGATGATGGTGGTTGGTGATGATGAAGAAGATGATGGTGGTTGTTGGTGGTGATGAAGAAGATGATGGTGGTTGTTGGTGGTGATGAAGAAGATGATGATGGTGGTTGGTGATGATGAAGAAGATGATGGTGGTTGTTGGTGGTGATGAAGAAGATGATGATGGTGGTTGGTGATGAAGAAGATGATGGTGGTTGGTGATGAAGAAGATGATGGTGGTTGTTGATGGTGATGAAGAAGATGATGGTGGTTGTTGATGGTGATGAAGAAGATGATGTGGTGGTGATGGTGGTGGTGGTGAAGATGAGGGTGGGGAGTCTGATAAAGGTGGTGGTGATGAAGATGATGATGATGGTGGTGATGATGATAATGATAATGGTGATGATTAATATGATGGTGGTGGTGAAGAAGATGATGGTGGTTGTTGGTGGTGATGAAGAAGATGATGGTGGTTGTTGATGGTGATGAAGAAGATGATGGTGATGGGGATGATGGTGGTGGTGGTGAAGATGAGGGTGGGGAGTGTGATAAAGATGGTGGTGATGAAGATGATGATGGTGGTGGTGATGAAGACCTAGACTTTAGACTTTATTGTCCCCAATTCTTTTCACAGCACTGTTACTGTCAGCACAGACAATTTCCACCAAAAAACATACACAAAACACAGAGTGTAACAAGTTCCCACTCTTGCCTGTTCAGCGAGGCCTTTTGTTTAGGGCCGCTATAACAGCAGGGATCAGGCTCCGCCCCCAGGCGAACCTTTTTGCACCTCATTGCTGAAGATGCCGATGGCGATGATGGTCACGACGTCTGATGGTCACGACGTCTGATGGTTGGTTAGGATGATGATGATGCGATGGTGGTGGGGGTGATGAAGATGATGTTGGTGGTGGTTATGATGATGATGATGATGATGATGTTGGTGGTGGTTATGATGAAGATGATGGTCGTGATGGTGATGAAGAAGATAGTGATGATGATCTGATGAGGATGATGATGATAGTTGTGAAGATAATGATAATGGTGATGATTAATATGATGGTGGTGATGAGGATGCTGATGGTGATGGTGATGAAGATGATAATGGTGATGATTAATATGATGATGGTGATGAGGATGCTGATGGTGATGGTGGTGATGAAGATGATGATGATAATGGTGATGAAGATGATAATGGTGATGATTAATATGATGATGGTGATGAGGATGCTGATGGTGATGGTGGTGATGAAGATGATGATGATGATGATAATGGTGGTGATGATGATGTTGGTGGTGGTTATGATGATGATGATGTTGATGAAGCAATGGTGCTGGTGGTGGGGATGAAGATGATAGTAATGATGTTGGTGGTGGTTATGATGAAGATGATGTTGGTGATGATGGTCGTGATGGTGATGAAGAAGATAGCGGTGATGTTGGTGATGATCTGATGAGGATGATGATGATGTGATGAAGATGATGATAGTTGTGAAGATAATGGTGATAATTGTGATTAATATGATGATGGTGGTGCGAGTGGTGATGAGGATGCTGGTGGTGATGAAGATGATGATGTCAAGAAGATTCTGATGATGTCATCACATATCTGTGTCTTCCTGTTTCAGGTTCGGAGTTGTGTTCTTACGAGTTAGCGGGTCATAAATATCCAGGTCTGCCTGAGAGGTTCTCCAAATGTCCCAAACTTCCTGTTCCCCCCAGGTAAGCCCCGCCTCACCTGCTTGACTTCAGCAGCGATGTTTCTTTGTCCTCTGACCTGTGACCTCTGTGACTGTGCGTGTGGTCCTCAGTAAGCCCCTCCCGGTGTTTAACCGCTGCACGCCGCTGGATGTTTCGTGTTATGCGAAGTTTGCGGAGGCCGTGGTGACGTTTGTGGGCGATAACAGCGTCCTGCACCGCCTGATCGCCGGCGTCGCCAGCAGCAAAGAGATCATCATCGGACTGTGTGTGCTGGCTCTAGGTGAGACTCACCTGAAGTCTGTTTTAAACTGTTCAATATGTAATGTAATTTGATCTGTTTGTGTTCGTTAAAGAAGTCTAATATCTGTCCTCTGTGTGTCTTCAGTCCTCTCTATGATCCTCATGGTGATCATTCGCTACATCTCCGCCGTCCTCGTCTGGATCCTCACCGCGCTGGTCGTCCTTGGATCCCTCGGTGAGGTCACTTCCTGTTATTCTCAACAAAAATACAAGTACTAGACGCCCAATATTGGGTAATTTATTGTTTTTAATTGACAAAAATTGCAATCAAATTACTGCCCACTTCCTAAATTGCATTAAGAGTTTAAACTTATACTTTACACTTTATCTCTTGCGGCAGCTTTTGGTTTAAAATAATCCTTATTATAACATTACCAATAATTTTGTGCAATTTAGACAATAGGCTGGAGTTTGCCTGCAAATTAAAAATTCCTGTCCATGACATACATAGACAAAGTTATTTAAGAGTTTCAGTCATTTTTGATACTACTGATCAGAAAAATAACAGATAGTATTGATCAGCTGTCTGTGTAAACGTGTGTGTGTGTGTGTGTGTGTGTGTGTGTGTGTGTGTGTGTGTGTCCTCAGGGGGGACCAGCGTTCTCTGGTGGCTGTACATCGATCACCGGCTGTATGGGAACGACACCTCCCCTAAAGTGGTGAAGGAGGAGGAGGAGGAGGAGGTCAGGCAGGACGTTGGGCAGGCGCTGCTCGTCTATGCTGCCGCTGCCACCGTCTTCACCGTACGAAAAATCAGTGGGCGGGGCTTAACACTGAAATTAACTCTCAATATGTCAAGATGATTACCTGTTTGTCTCTTCCCCCTCTCTTTTTTTATTCATGTCTCTCTCTCTCTCTCTCTCAGATCATCCTCTTCCTGTTGATGCTCTTCATGAGGAGGCGTGTCTCTCTGACCATCGCTCTGTTTCACGTGGCAGGGAAAGTCTTCCTGCACCTTCCCCTCCTCACCCTGCAGCCCTTCGTCACCTTCCTGGCTCTCCTGCTGTTCTGGATGTACTGGGTCCTGGTTCTGCTCTTCCTTGGGACCACTGGTCAGTTTAAACCTTTGATGTCACCTCTTTCTGATCACCCGACCATTCTGACAGATTCTGATTGACTTGTCTTTTATTTGGATCATTTTTTACAACTACAGAACTACATTTATGTCATTACATCTTCCACTTCCTGTTCCCTGCTTCCAGTTTACACCCACCAGTGCATTGTAGGAACTGTGGTAGGCATTAACATGAAGGATTAAACCTACGTCCCCTTGTGCAGGTAACCCAGTGCAGAATGAGGAGACAGGTCTGACTGAGTTCAGACTGACCGGTCCTCTGCAGTACCTGACCTGGTACCACGCCGTGGGTCTGATCTGGATCACTGAGTTCATCCTGGCCTGTCAGCAGATGACTGTGGCCGGTGCCGTGGTCACATACTACTTCACCAGGTGAGGCAAAAGCTGACCCCCCTCTTTTTATCTGTGTCCAGTCTTAAGTACTAAGTCACTACTAAGCTAACTGTTTCCCTATGTGACAAAAATGTATGTGAAGCTAAGTAGGGTCCTCATGATACCAGAATTTCAAACTTAGATACGATTCTAGTAAAAGTCAAACGATATTGATACCTGTTTGTTACTATGGCAACAAAAACAGATGCAGACGTTGCTAGTTTTTGTGCGGGATCAGTTAGAAACATGTTGGTGTTTTTTTTTTATCCTTTAAAATAACTTTTCCTCAGAGCTCACAGCATTTAGTTTTGTAATCAATGTTGACAAAATGTTCAATACTTTTGTTCATGTTTTAACACGATCTCCGTTATTTTATATGTTTGATTACCGTTATGTCAAAAAGTACTGAAGCTTTCAAAAACTTCAGCTCGTTTGTTAGACGTTTGACTGAAGGCTGCAGCAAGAGAAAGACAGCGAGCACTGTCTAAATTGCACAAAAACATGGGCAACATTTATATAAGAGCCCTCGTTCTTCACCAGCTCCACTTTCTTTTACAAATGTTGTCACCGCATTTGTGCTATTTAGACAGTTTGCAGGAGTTTGCCTGCAAATGTTGTCACTTCAAAACAAAACATGACCCAACACTGTGTGTCGAGGACTTCTGTTTTTGTTGCTGTGGTATCAAAGAGGTACAGATATCCTTTGATTCTTATTAGAATCATATCAAAGCTTACAACTCTACTTTTGATTTTGAAGTGAAACAGAGGGAATGCTGTTGATCATAAACATCTAGGTTTATGATCAACAGGTTAAATTCATCTACAAATGTGTGTTCTGATAAAACGTATTACTCAGATATATTTAATCACTCCCTCAATGATGAGTCTCTGCGAAGTGGATTGATGAGAACTCTGTGTTTTAGGGACAAGAACCGTCTCCCGCTGACCCCCATCCTGTCCTCCGTCCTGAGGCTGGTCAGGTATCACCTGGGCACTGTCGCCAAAGGATCCTTTATAATTACACTGGTCAAGATCCCCCGACTCATCCTCATGTACATACACAACCAGCTCAAAGGAAAGGTACACACACTTGTATTTATTCTATAATATATTAAAAGTGGTGTTGATGAATGTTTGATACCTAGGCTACGTCTTATATAGCCGTGTGCTCAACCTACCAGTATAAAATGCTAAGACATGCACCGTCATGACTGTTTGAGTGCAGCCACCACCTTCACCCACTGCACGCCTCCTGACATGACTGTGCATGTTTTAGCATTTCATACTGGTAGGTTGGGCACATTCAAAGCATTCTCAGATACATGGCAATGAAGATGTATCATCTGATGATGTTATCAGCTGATGGCGTTTATTTATGTTTGTGTTAACTGATGATGTTTGTAACAGCTGATGATGTTTGTGTTTGTCAGGAGAATGCGTGTGCTCGCTGCCTGCTGAAAACTTGTATCTGCTGTCTGTGGTGTTTGGAGAAGTGCCTCAACTATCTCAATCAGGTAACATCCCACACCTGCTCCTCACCTGTTCATTTATTTCTTCTTACTTCCTGTCTCCCCTGTGTTTTGTTTCTCCTTACTTCCTGTCTCCGCTGTGTTTTGTTTCTCCTTACTTCCTGTCTCCCCTGTGTTTTGTTTCTCCTTACTTCCTGTCTCCGCTGTGTTTTGTTTCTTCTTACTTCCTGTCTCCGCTGTGTTTTGTTTCTCCTTACTTCCTGTCTCCGCTGTGTTTTGTTTCTTCTTACTTCCTGTCTCCGCTGTGTTTTGTTTCTTCTTACTTCCCGTCTCCCCTGTGTTTTGTTTCTTCTTACTTCCCGTCTCCCCTGTGTTTTGTTTCTTCTTACTTCCCGTCTCCCCTGTGTTTTGTTTCTCCTTACTTCCCGTCTCCCCTGTGTTTTGTTTCTTTGTTTCTCCTTACTTCCCGTCTCCCCTGTGTTTTGTTTCTTCTTACTTCCCGTCTCCCCTGTGTTTTGTTTCTTCTTACTTCCCGTCTCCCCTGTATTTTGTTTCTCTTTACTTCCTGTCTCCTCTGTGTTTTGTTTCTTCTTACTTCCCGTCTCCCCTGTGTTTTGTTTCTCCTTACTTCCCGTCTCCCGTGTTTTGTTTCTTCTTACTTCCCGTCTCCGCTGTGTTTTGTTTCTCCTTACTTCCCGTCTCCCCTGTGTTTTGTTTCTCCTTACTTCCCGTCTCCCCTGTGTTTTGTTTCTTCTTACTTCCCGTCTCCCCTGAGTTTTGTTTCTCCTTACTTCCCGTCTCCCCTGTGTTTTGTTTCTTCTTACTTCCCGTCTCCCCTGTGTTTTGTTTCTCCTTACTTCCTGTCTCCCCTGTGTTTTGTTTCTTCTTACTTCCCGTCTCCCCTGTGTTTTGTTTCTTCTTAATTCCTGTCTCCCCTGTGTTTTGTTTCTTCTCCTTCCTGTCTGTCCCGCTTGTGTTTTGTTTCTTCTTACTTCCTGTCTCCCCTGTGTTTTGTTTCTTCTTACTTCCTGTCTCCGCTGTGTTTTGTTTCTTCTCACTTCGCGTCTCGCTTGTGTTTTATTTCCCAGAATGCATATGCAGCCACAGCCATCAACAGCACCAGTTTCTGCACGTCTGCTCGTGACGCCTTCGTGATTCTGGTGGAGAACGCTCTGCGCGTCGCTACAATCAACGCCATCGGAGACTTCGTGCTCTTCCTGGGGAAGGTGAGAAAGTCACCAGAGGCTATTATTGTAAAAAAGTAAATGATGTGGGTATGACTTTATGAGTCACTCTCTTTGTATAATTCATGCATGTTTGAAATATTTTGGTTCATACCTGAGATATGTTGTGAGAGATTTGATGATGTTGAAATGTTGAGATGTCTCACTCTGAATCAGTGAATTTACTCTCTTCGTAGTCATCTATTGGTGATCATTTTCTCTTTTTCCTTCTTTGACGTCTGAAGATTTTTGTAAAACTCGAATGACTGCTTTTCACAACTTTTTGACTTTGTTATTGTGTTTGTTGCTCAGATCCTGATTGTGACGTCAACAGCGTTCGCCGGCGTCCTCCTCCTCAACTACCAGCGGGATTACGCTGAGTGGCTGCTGCCTCTGATCATCGTGTGTCTCTTCTCCTTCCTCGTGGCTCACTGCTTCCTGTCCATCTTTGAGATCGTGGTGGACGTCCTCTTCCTGTGCTTCGCCATCGACACCAAGTACAACGACGGGACTCCGGGGAAGGAGTTCTTCATGGACAAAGCTCTGATGGTGAGAAAGCAGCACGCTTAAAACACCTTCTATTCACATAAACCTTAACGAAACGCAAACCTGTTGTCCACATCCTCCGGAGTCCTGGTTAGAATTTGAGAGAAAATGCTTCAGTATCTGATATGATTGACTAGACTCCCTCGAACTACATCAGAAATAAAAAGATAAATTCTGAACCAAACAGGTACTTCTGTGGGGGTGGGGGGTGTTTATCAGTGAACCTGGTACCTGAACACCTCAGGCCAAAGATGAGAGTTCAAATGTTCATGGCATCAGGTTGATCTGGTCTTAAACTCCCCCCCTCCATGAGGTCTTTCAGGTGCGGGTGTCTCCTGAAGCAGCACATAGGTTAGTAGATAAATACCAAGCAGTAACTTCCAATGTTGGAAGTGAAGCTGATGGGGAAGTGCAAAGTCAGGCAGTGTCACATACACACCCATTCAAAAAGCCAGTTTTTACAGCAGAAATTAACATGTTTACAGTCTGGTTCAAAAAAACTAAATAGGTCTCGATCAGCACACACTGAATGGGGGGAGACATTTTTGATAACTCATCTGTTTGGATTTAAATAAAGGATAAAAGTTTTCCACAATAAGGTGCATAGCCGACCTGTTTTACAAAATGCTTCAAGCCTGTCTCAACTCTGTCTTTAGGTTGACTGAAAGTTAAGTTGAGAGACATTTCCAGCATAGTGACTGCCTTCAAGGGGACTCCAAAGTCCCTGCAGTAACACACTGTCGACATCACTAAAACCTCTGGAAGGCCAATGAGAAGCACGTTTAGTGTCATCAGGCAGTGTTGCAGAACCTGACTGGGGAAACTGTCAGAAACCCTTTTCACACATACAGAAATCTCCTGAAAAACTCCGGAGATTTGGCTACCCGGAGGTTCTTTAGGCTGTGTGTGAACGCAAACAGACGCATTTTCCGTGCAGACTTTACCTGGAATTTCTCCGGCCAGACCCCTAGTAATTTTTCCGCAGAAAGTCCGAGTGAGCTGATGTCTGAACGCTAGCACCATATACTCCGGAGATTTCACCTCAAGCCAATGGGAAGAGAATGACGTTTATATAGCGACCACTACGATCTCTGTGCACGTTATTAAACGTCTGCATTCTGTTTTCTGTTGGTCAGTTTGTTGTTCTCCTCTCTTTTGTGGATGTTGTCATTCCATTGGATTACACATAGCATTGATATAAAGGCAAATATTCTCATTATAACGTCGTGTAGTGGACTCTGTTTCTTTGGCCGCTACTTCCGTGTTGTTTATTTACATCACGTCTTACCTCAGGAAATCCCCCGCCCCCCCTCCCCTCTGACAGGGATAGTCCCCCGCTGTGAGGAGCACATGTGAACGGCTAGGTCGGGAGAATCTCCGGAGCGGTCCTCCTGTAAATATCTAGATATTATCCGGAGTGCACATGTGAAAACGGCTAGACTGTGGAAAAAGTGAACCTGACTAACAAAGAAGGCTCTGGACATTGTTGGGCTGTCTCGGCTAACAGGGCTCTTCAGTTCTCGCATAGAGCAGGTGTGACCTGTAGAGTGGCAGAATGGGATGGTAGTTTTGATAATAAGGGGACCGGAGGGTGTGCTCCCACAATCGGGGGTATCACACTGACTTCCCATCCATCCGGGGAAAGTTAAATTCAGAGAGCTGGAAAGGAGGCTTCGACCAATTGTCAAACCTCGGCTATCAGGAGGAAAAAATGCGGATTCTGTCCTGTCTGTGGGACAGTGGACCAGCTTCTTACCTCAAAGAACTTCATGGTGGGGCATGGGAGTTCGCTCATCTAGTCAATACATACTATATATGTTTTGTGGACCTGCAGAAGCCATTAGTAACCATTATGACCAAAATGAGAGCTGTGTCCATATCCTCGGCAAGATGAGGGTCAGTACCTCCAAGGCCATAATGCTCTGCTTAAAAAACGTTGGATGCCTCCTCTGGTTTGGGAGGGAATCTCTGCCTCAAGTGAAGGAGTTCCAAGTATCTTGATCTTTTTTTTTCGTTGTGAGGGTAAAATAGCATGATTAGATTGACAGATGGGTTGCGGAGGCATCTTTAGTAATGCTGGATCTGAACCTGAAGGCAAAGCTTTTGATTGGCCATCGATGTACATTCAGATGGATAATGGTTGATGAATGATGGATGGACTGATGGATGGTGGATGGATCGGACTCGGAAATTGTGGAAGTTTGGGACAAATCAAACTTTTAAAAATCTAAAATAATAAATATCATATTGTTAGAATATAACTGTAGATATTAAAGATGCTCTGCTGACCTCTCAGGATTCATGCAGAGAATGTGCTCCACCTTCTTAATTAATTCTCCACCACTCTCTCTCTCTCCCCCCCAATCTTTGTTGGATGTGGACTCATCTGTATTCGTCCCCCTCTACCTCTCTTTGACCTCGCTCCCTGCTGGTCCCTCCCATGCAGGAGTTTGTAGAAAACAGCCGGCGGTTGGAGCGAGCGGTGGAACGTGGGCGGAGCCGGGTTAAGGAAGCAGTGTCTGAGAGGGCGGAGATGAAGCCCATGGTGAGTGACAGCAGTGATGAAGGGGGCGTGGCCAGGCAGAAGAGCTCGTCAGAGGAGGAGGGAGTGGGGCTTGATGTGGGTGGAGGGGAGTGGGAGGAGCTTCAGGAGTTCCAGGTGTACTACCTGCTGGTGGGGGTGCTGGTGGACTGGGTGCTGACAGAGCAAAGCGACTTCATCCTCTGTCTCAGTGAGGACGTCGTCCTCTTCCTCTGCGTCTACCTACCCACCTCCACCCTCTTCCTTTTCGTCAGCATGCTGCACACGCCAAGCCTCGCCCCCTCCAGCAATAAATCAGCCGTCATCACTGCCAAGAGCTAACGGACATGTGCTAACTCCAACACCATATGCATGCTAACAAACATGCTAACGGACAAGAACTAACAAACACACAGATTGTCTTAAGCTGATTGGAAGAACACTAACGCATGCTAACCTGCCTCATTCTTCATCATCATCATCATCATCATCATCCTCATCCCTGCTGCTTCTTCTTTAACATCTGGAACCACTTATAGACTTTCTGTTCGTTTTAATTTATTTTTTTTACTTTTATATTTAAACTTATTTTTAAAAGAATTTATGTTGCAGCTGTTTGTGTTTTTGTGTTTGGCCTTATTTTGTCACCGTCGTGCTTTACGGACTCAGCAGATGATGCAGCTCCTCATGTGTTTACATTTCTAATATCGTCTCTGGGTCTGGTTCATTAAGCTTTACGGTTTTCAGATTTATTCAGTGTTGTTAGTTATACTTCAAGAACCGGTGTATCTCCTGCTCAAAGAGTTTAATTTAATGTCTAAATAATAAATAAAAAAAATCATCTGCTGGGTCCAAACCTTTTGCACAGATGTTCAAACATGAACTGCTGTGATTCATGCTGTGAGTCATGTTCAGACCAGACATCAAGGAGACAATTAATGTTTGGGTTTCAGTATTTTTAGACTCAGTCCATCTTAACCTAAACACAAAATAATCCACACCATCATGCCATGTGAACTTTGTTACGCCCTGAAACAAAGCTGCTTTGTCCATCTACTACAGCGTCTCCTTTTACAAAGGTATTACGTTTTTCATTCAATCAGCTGTCAGTCACAGATGAGGTAAATATCAGTCTGACAGGTGTGCTCCTTCGATGGGGTTCAGGTGAGAGTGTAGATGTTTGTTTCAAACATTCAGTATAGTCACAGGTCAAACCTTTGTCTAAATGTTCATGGGATGTTGACATGAAGGAGACGGTACAGCTGAGGTAACCCCTGCAGACAAAGTGATCCAGAAATCTACAGAAAAATCCAACATTTGAATAACTTCTGCTGAAAAATAAACTAGTAACTTATTTTTCAGCTTCCCTTCATGAAACAACATTAAACAACTACAAAGAGACCAAATAAACTACAAAACAACTTCAAAAATACACAAAAGTCAAGTTAACTTTATTTATATAGCACATTTATAACAGCCGAGGCGGACCAAAGTGCTGTATAGTAAATCAGGCAAAATACATTACATCCAAAACATCATAAAGACACAAAACAATAGTAAAAGTTCTAGTAGACACTGCTGCTGGGATAAAACACTCAACTAGAGGTAAAAGCCAATGAAAAGAAATGGGTTATTAAAAATGACTTAGACTGCTCAGTTGTGGCAGCAGATCTTATATTAAATGGTAATTTATTCCAAAGTGTCGGAGCTGCAACAGAAAAGACACAAGACAAAAACATGGGTTAAAAAATGACCAAGAAAAAGACACAATTACCTCAAAGAAAAAACTATCACAGAAGATACAGAAAAACATTCCCTTGAAAAAAAAAAAAGGCTAACAACCACACAGACACAAATAACAAAGACGTCCTTGTGTGACGGAAAATAAAACTTGTAAGTAAAAAAATAAAAATAAATAAATATTACAGTTTCTGCTTGTTCTGGGTCTGGACTCATGACCTACGTCTTTTTTTTTATTTTTTATCATGCTTCAACCACTGGTCTTGACTACCCATGATGCTTCGATCTCACCTTCATTATCCTCATTAACCGCGTCCCCATCACCTTCCTGTATGTTGACCTCTATGAGAACAATGAAAGGTTTAACCTTTGGACTCGTTTCCTATTTCAGGCTCCGGGGACAAGCTCAGCTTGACGTAAATCAGCCAATGGGACTTCTTTAAAAACAGAGACATTCCAGAAGTTTATTTTTACCAACGTGTAACATGTTTACTATGGTTTCACTCCAGGGAAAACGATATTTTAATAACAAACTGTACAAACTATGTAACAATGTAATGAAGCACTTTATATTGAAGCGCTGCAGATTTTAAACCGCCTGATGCATTTTTTTTGTAGTGATGTCGTTTTTTATAAAATCCACTTATCGCCCGCCCACTCTGCAGCTTTTTTCATAAACCACACCCTCTTCAGCTGGACGCCATGTTGGATCACAGCGCTGTGACATCATCAGAGCACAGCAGCTAAATGGTTCATGAGATCTGTCTGTGGAGCTGTCATCATAGAAACAAGCTGGAACAAGGATCTGATTGGCTGCTGTGGGTCAGCTGATGAAGGCCTGTTGAACAGTTGCAGTGTGACGCCTGTTTCTGATGCCATATTGGACAAATCATTGTAAAGGCGGAGCCCTTGCTAACATATCAAACACACCTGAAAACTCACCTAGGGAGCGGGGTGGCTCTCCACAAACTGCTATAACCTACAAGGTGAGAGTCATGTGACTCCTGAGGAAGCCAAGCTATCAATTTTACTGGCGTGCTACTGTTAACGTGTTAGCATGTTATTATGAACAGAGCTGCTGTTTGACACATTATTGAACACAAAACTTTGAAACATTTAGCAGCTCCATAATGCTAACATGCTAACCACTGTGTGATTTAATGAGATAAACTGGTTCAGTCAGACATGTTCCCCTCAGGATGAACTCTTAGAACCTATCAAGCGCTATCATCAGGTCAACATGTTTTGTGTTTGATACTTCAGTTTTTGATGAGAAACAAAAAAAACTCCCATCATCCTCGGCTGAACTCGAGCTTACCTGTTGATGAGCTGCGTTTTATGGTTTCATTGCCATGGAACTGTGTTAGCAGGTCTTCTGCTGTCAGTCACATGACTCTCATGGTGCAGGTGGTCTTTCCTGTCACCCCCTGCTGGTGGTTAAGAGGGCATGTTCAGTGATAAGGGATGTCAGCTGATCTGTGATGAAGATGATTGACAAATTGTTGTCTTCCTCCCCGTCACTGGCTGAAACCTCCACCACATTAACGCGTTTCCATTCAATCCAGAGAAGTAGAATGCGAGCAGGTGTGTGGGCGGAGCTTCCTGCACAGGTGAAAGTCAGCAATAAAACAAGCTGCATCATGAGATCACCACAACATCAACGAGTCTTCCTGCTTCAGCTGATTCAACACGCTAGGAAGGTTTAAAGTCAGAGATTCATTCCAGACAGCTGTTAGATCAGCTGTCAATAAGCTGTCAGTTGATAAACTGTTGGTCAGCTGTCCGTCAAATGCAAATCAACGTTAGTCAGCTGCCGGTCAGCTGTCAATCAGCTGCTAGTCAGCTTTCTGTCAGCTGTCAATCAGTTGCTAGTCAGCTGTCAGTCACAGATGAGGTAAATATCAGTCTGACAGGTATGCTCCTTCGATGGGTTCCAGGTGAAAGTGTAGACGTTTGTTTCAAACATTCAGTATCGTCACAGGTCAAACCTTTGACAAAATGTTCATGGGATGTGGACATGAAGAAGACGGTACAGCTGAGGTAACCCCTGCTGCCCTGTTGCCTGTTCAGGTTGCCCAAAATGTTGCCTTGTTGCCCTTCAGTTTGGGTTGTCAGGATGAATCCAAACATCGCCCTGCAGACTTCAACCACTGACCTTTCCATTCTAACTAACCCCAATGAAAAATGAAAATGAATTTGATTAACGTAATTCAAAGATCAGATCTGAATGTGTAAACAGAGAAGCTGCGTCTTAATTAAGTTGTTTCTTAAATAGAATGTTCCATCATGTTCTGATCACACTACACTACCCATGAGCCTCAGCTGCTGTTGCCATGGAGAAGAGGCCTGTGGGTCTTAATAGAGCTCAACAGTGATCGCCCAATTCTTGGGTGGCTCTGGTTCCAGAAGTAATGTTCCCAATTCAAACCTCCGAACTGACATTTCAGAAAACCCTTATATCAATATTTTTAATCTTCGATACAGGCGACCAGCTACCCCAATAACTGCGACGATAAAACATTTGATTCAGCGCAAAAAACAATTGGAAAAACTGCATCCATTGCGATTCCAACAAGACCCAAGGAACTATAGTTTCAGCAGGCCCCACCAGTCAGAGACATCGCTGTAACACTTTAGGATTTTTAGTAGTGTAATTAATTTAAAATGAGGTTGATAGCATACTTACTTTTTAAGTTATTTTTGGGCCTTTTTTGCCTTACTGGGATAGGACAGCTTAAAGAGACAGGTAATGTTGGGAGGAGAGAGTGGGGGACGACATGCAGCAAAGGGTCGAGGTCTGATTCGAACCCACATCCACCACAAAAAAGGACTTTGTACATAGGGTACGTGACATAACCACTAGGCTATTGGCGCTCCCAATATCATATGAACTTGTGTCTTGTACATGAGCATAACCCCTGATTTCGCACTTAGGTAGCTTGTGGTAAGTCTACTCTGGATGGTTACGACACAGATAATAATCAAATCCGCTATGGAGAAACTGAATGGGATTTTTACCAACGGAATCACAATGTTGAGCTCTACACAATGTATAATAGATATCGCCTCTATGCAGTCACTTGGGCGACCAGCGGTACTGCAACGAAACTGATCAGAACTAGTAACCATTTTTAAATTCATTTAGTTTAAAATAAAAACCTGCAGCTTTGATGTTTGGATTCTGGTCATACACCTGCTGATAAAGAAAAGTGTTTCTGTGATGATGACGTTTGTTTAAGTTTGTCCCAAAATCCCCTGCTGTCAGAAAAAAAACACACCTGCTTCACTTCAAAGACAAGCTCAGAGTTTCTGCAGGACAGAGACGAACTGAATGGCTCTGTGAGTAATTTAAATGTGGTCTCTTTCAGATCTTGTTCAAATGAATCAGTCTATCTCAGCTCTTTATTTTTGAATCAATCAGTTTGTCTCAGCTCTCCTTGGGTAATTGGATCAGTCCTTCTCAGCTCTTCATGTTTGAATCAATGAGTCTGTCTCAGCTCTTCATGTTTGAATGGATCACACCTTCTCAGCTCTTCATGTTTGAATGGATCACACCTTCTCAGCTCTTCATGTTTGAATGGATCAGTCCTTCTCAGCTCTTCATGTTTGAATCAATGAGTCTGTCTCAGCTCTTCATGTTTGAATGGATCAGTCTTTCTCAGCTCTTCATGTTTGAATGGATCAGTCCTTCTCAGCTCTTCATGTTTGAATGGATCAGTCTTTCTCAGCTCTTCATGTTTGAATGGATCAGTCCTTCTCAGCTCTTCATGTTTGAATGGATCAGTCCTTCTCAGCTCTTCATGTTTGAATGGATCAGTCCTTCTCAGCTCTTCCTTCCTGCAGAAACTCTGAAATTTTGTTAAAATTTTTCGAGCATGTGTGTTTAAAAGGAGCGAGTCACAGTGACGCTTCGAGCATGTTAACATGGTAACTAATTGCACTAAAGATGGAGTTCATTCAACACTGACGTCAGTTTAAAGTAGCTGTAAAGTATTTTAGATGAAGTGTTTGTAGCTCAGATGTTAACACACAAACAAACACACACACACACACACACACTCACATCCAGTTGCCCAAAATAGAAAAACAACTTTAAGAGAAATTTTTCATTCATACATTTATTTTGGACCATGTGACCGCTGTTGCCGAGTAGATGAACTTGCTGAGAGTTTCATTCCAACATCAGATAAACTTTTTTACTTTTACAATGAAAAGCAATTTCTTAAAAATAAAACTAGTTGGATATAAGTAAATTAATCTTACCTATATCAACACTTTATTACTAAATTACTCGCACAAATTAGAGTCTGTTGATTCATATTAAGGTTAATGTTTAATGAGCTGGACAGATGATGATAAGCATATCTTTATGATGTAAACAGCAAAATATAATATATAATGATTGTTTTTATTTGGGTAGAAATTCTAATTTAATTTGGTAAAATTCTAAATCTTACAGAGGATACTTCTAAACCATGTTTTTAAACAAAACAATCTCTTTTACAAAAAGTACAGAAACTTAAAAATATATATATATACAGATCTTCAGTCACAATCCTTTGTGCAATTTAGACAGTGTGCGGGAGTTTTGATGGATTTGTTTCTCTCCTTCACGCCTTTATTTTGGAAATTATGGATTTTTATTTTCAGTAGATAATATGGAATAACAGATTGTATTGTTTTTACATATGTGGTATCAAAAAGAATCAAAGTATGGACCATTTTTAAAACCTTAAACTGTTTGGTGATTAATTTAGTGATCATCAAACGTATTAAACTTAGACTTCAGCTAATTCAAATTATCTGCTGACTCCTGATCATCTCTTTAAAAAGGCTAAAGTGGCTAAATAAGAACACACTTTTGAATTTGTGAGTTGGTATCAGTGTGCATCAGTTAGATGGGTCCAGATTTAAAGTCAAATATTAAAGACAGAATGCTGTTTATTGATCTATTAATTGGTTTGAACCTCCTGAGAGAACTCAACTTAAAGAAACTCTTTAATAAAGATTACAAACCTGATGAATTATACTCAGGTTATAGATTGCACATCTCATGATAGCTCTGAAGTATAAATATTAATAAATTAACTCTGTTGGGATGAAACTGTTCAGCTCCTTCTGTTGACCAACGATCTGACCAATCAGCATGCAGAGAAGTAGCTCTGCCTGCTGAATGTGGACACGTGAGCTGGGGTCAGGGATGCTCCAATCAGAATGTTCAGTTTTCATTAGATGATCAGATTGGTTCAAATATGATCAATCAGCCTATCACTGAACAAAATCAACCTGCAGGTGGTGAAATACCTGAACATGTCACTAAAGTGGTGATGGTGTAAAGATGATATCACAGCTGATGTCATCAGTACATCTAAACCAGTTCCTGAGATAACAGAACAAACTTCTTTAAACCAATAAGACACGAGTTCATCCTGGTGAACTTTGAACTTGTGCTGTTGGACGTTCTGTGAAGGAGCGAATGCTAACAGGGTTAGCTGCTGAGCTAATGTATCTAAAGAGCTAACTGCTAATCCGTTAGCCAGTCAGCGACCTACTAGCACTTTATTTACAACTTCTCACCTAAGTTTTCAGGTGTGAGTTAGCGTCAATCATGTTGTTAACTAAGTTAGAAACATCAACTGATGATTGAAGCATCCCTACCTGTAGTTCTTGGTCGTCATGGTGACAGCGTTCCAAACAAACACCTGCCAGGTGAGGACTGTTGTTCATAGAGAAGCTGTTGCATGTCCATGTGTTAGCTCTGAATCACTGGTGTGAATAATCAGCTGTTAGATTCACAGGATTCAAAACGACTCGTCTCTTCACACTTTAACTCGAGCTAACTCGACGCTACGAAAGCTAAGACTTTAGGCTGACACGTAAGTTTACCTGTCAGGTGTGACACTAGTGTTTAGGTTTTCTCTGCAGTGAGAAATTGTTTGTAACATTGAAGATTTCTTTTTCTTGGTTGACTTTTTATATTTATCATTTCTTATGTATATTTGTTTTTTAAGAAAAATAATAAAAAGTTAAATTTGACAAGTGTGTATTTTTTTCTGTTTGCTGCTAAAAATGTCAAACAAACAAACAAACAAACAAACAAACATTTAAACATATAATACAAAAACAAAATATTTCGGGATGTGTCACGTTAGAGCAAAAGTATTTTCCCATTTTCCTTCATTTTCTCGAACAGAAATTAAGCAATTCTGTCAGTCTTGTTTAATCTGTTAACTTTCCTTTTCATTATAAAATATTTTACATATTAAAATAATTAGTAGTTGAAGCCAAAATCTTAAATCTAGGCTCCCTGATGTTCTGCTGAGGATGATGCTAGCTGCAGCTAGCTATGCGATTGCATTAGTCATTAGCTCATTTTAAGTTATGAAATTTGTCCTCTCACATTTTTTGTCACATTATTGATGTTAGCAACAATGTGAAAGTGAAGGAAAACAAACATTTCTTGTTATTCTTATATGTCAATGAATTTATCCATTAGTTAGTTAGCTTGCTAAATTAGCAAGAAGTTGGAAAATGATATACATAACATTAACATCGAATCAAGAAATAAAAAAACAACAATTTTAACTTATTGAATATTTAATATAAAAGCAGAAAACAACGAGAAAAGAAAATATGAAGCAGCAGTGCACACAGTGTAAAACTTTATCATAAAGGAGAAGCTTTAACAATCTGTCACACACACACACACAGTGCTCACAAACACACACACACACACACACACACACACACACACACACACACACACACACGAACCTTAATGTAAACATGCATTTAAAGTGACATTTCAGCTCTCCACAAACAAAGCAAGTTAGCTTCTGTTAGTATTAGCATCCAGGCTGTAATATCATCAGCTCTGATATCTGTGTGTGTGTGTGTGTGTGTGTGTGTGTGTGTGTGTGTGTGTGTGTGTGTGTGTGTGTGTGTGTGTGTAGCAAGAGTTTGTGTGTTCGTTACCTGAGAATCACTATTTCATACAGATTAGGAAGCTCCTCTGGCACACAGTCAGTTAAAACAACATGTTTTAAAGATGGCACTAGTAATGGCGACAGGTAGCAGCTGTTTGTGGTTGTCTTCTGTAATGCCCCTTTGGGGTCATAAAGACATCCTTGATCCATAAAACAATACAGTCTCTCATTTTAATGATCGATAGCATCAGAAAGTACTGAAGCTTAAACAAAAACAAAAATAAAACTACATCTATTTCATAAGACAGGTGTGTAGGAGAAGAGTTAATCCATCCAAAATTGCATTAGCAACATTGAGATATGAGCGTTGGAATGCACAAACACACATACCTGTGCGTTTGTGCAGTCTGACACACAAAAATCCCAACATTTCAAATGTTTTTTGTGCAAGTAAGACTGTGCAGGAATTTGCACGCAGATTTTAATAATTAGACAAAATAAATTACCCAGTATTGGGAGTCTAGGACAATTTTTTTGCTGTGGTATCCAACAGGTATGGATTTTTTTTGTGTGTATTATTGTGTTGAAACCATACACTGAATTGAGCAAATAAATCAAATATGAAATATGAAATATTTCATGTACCTGGGACATGTAGCTAGGTTTATCGTTTTTTCAGATGAATAGTTAGTTTTGGTCATGGATGATTTAATCACACGTGCTGTGATTTAATATTGTTGAATTGCACAGAAATATTGGCAATGTTGGGCCAACATATTTGTGTCATAAAAATGCAAAGGTTTTGCTTAAGTCTCTTAAAAACAAACAGGGAGCAGAGGAGGACACACTGTCTAAATTGCACAAAAGCATTGGTGTAATGTATTTGTAAAACATTGCAAATTAACTAATTCAGATATAACTGATTCCACCCGACCTAAAAAGCCTCTGTATTTTTCTAATAAGCTCGACGCCCAGAAATGTGGAAAAACTATGATCAATAGTGGAGATGCTTTTGAAAAATAAAGCGGTTAGAACGCAGAAAGGTTTCTAGACCTATGCAAAGCTGACTAAACACTGAAGCTTCCGTTTTAGAGACATGGCAACCCACATGCACGACTATAGGGAGGAGGGGGCGGGGGAGAGACAGCTCTTTCCCCGCCCCCTCAGAGTACATGTCAGAGTATTTTAACCTTATTGTCTGTGGTGAGCAATAGATTTAAGTTCCATATCAGGCACAATCGTCAGCTGATAAAATACAGCATTTATTGAGGTCAGAGTTCCTCGTCCTCGCTGGCAGCGGCGTCGAGCTCTTTATGCACGGCGCTCTCCGTTACAAACTGTCTCTGCTGCTCCTCCAGCTCTTGCAGCTCCCCCTGCAGGCGCTCCAGGTGAAATGCTCGCTTGTTCCTCAGCAGGCGGCCAGGGAACGGATTCATGACGCTGAAGGCGATGTTAATTAGCTTCCTACAGGAAAGAACACCCGCAACAGATTTATCCTCGTGATAAGATGAAATCTGACTTTAAACACAACATGTCAGATTTATCCTCATGATAAGACTCTGACTGGGGCGCAGACGGCCTAGCGGTTAGTTTGGGCCTGATGTATGGAGGTTACAGTCGGGTTCCAGCAGGGGGCAGCATTACTAAAGATACAAATTTAAAAAAAAGAATAACAAGACATGCCTCCAGATTTCCAGGTGAGACAGGTGAGTGTGTACCTGCTGTCAGAGTGAGACTGGTGAGTGTGTACCTGCTGTCAGAGTGAGACAGGTGAGTGTGTACCTGCTGTCAGAGTGAGACAGGTGAGTGTGTACCTGCTGTCAGAGTGAGACTGGTGAGTGTATACCTGCTGTCAGAGTGAGACAGGTGAGTGTGTACCTGCTGTCAGAGTGAGACAGGTGAGTGTGTACCTGCTGTCAGAGTGAGACAGGTGAGTGTGTACCTGCTGTCAGAGTGAGACTGGTGAGTGTGTACCTGCTGTCAGAGTGAGACAGGTGAGTGTGTACCTGCTGTCAGAGTGAGACTGGTGAGTGTGTACCTGCTGTCAGAGTGAGACAGGTGAGTGTATACCTGCTGTCAGAGTGAGACAGGTGAGTGTATACCTGCTGTCAGAGATGGTCTTGGTAAAGAAGCGCAGGTATTGGTAGATCTCCACACTGTCACAGATCTTCAGGATGTCATCCTCTTTATATTTGAAGATAGCCAGAGCGTACCTGAAGATCACCTGCAAAACCACACAGGTGATATTTCAGCATGGTCATCAAATAAAAATGAAAAACAAAATGATTACACTCTGTGGTCTTGTGTCTGTGATAGCGTATCTGTGGTTGTGACCCCGTGGTTGTGTATCTGTGGTCGTCTAATTGCAGTTGTGTACCTTGGTGCCCTCGTACAGGAAGGCGTCCCACAGCGGCAGCAGGATGTCGCTTGGCAGACTCTCCACAAAAACCACAAGGAACCAGTTAAAGGTCATCAGAGACACGTCTATGCTGTAATCCTCGAAATGAGCCGCCAGCCGTGGTAGCTTCTCCAACAAAAGGTCCTTCAACACGCGCTGGTCAGCCTGAACACACACAGACAAACACAGACACAAACACACACTTTTTTTTTTAAAGATATATTTATGGGCATTTTTAGGACAGTGGATAGAGTTGGAAACCAGGGAGAGAGATGTTGTCATGGAATGCCTCTTGTCCAATCAGAATACTGGGTTGAAACTGACTATTGTACAAAACTCTATCATCTTTACACATGACTGAAACACATGTAAACAGGTCAGCAGGTGAATGTGCCATCTGACCTGAGAGGCCACCAGGTTCTTGGTGTAGTAGTCCTGAGGCATGATGGTTTCAACCACTGCCACCAGACACCAGAAGGCGTCCTCTTCACTCTGAAGCACCAGCAGAGCGATGGCTGCCAACCTGAGGGACACACAGGTAACCGTGTGACACGTCATTGTGACACATCACACCAATTGTACATACATTTCTAGTCTTGGTGGTTCTCATCTAACGTCCTGATTTTGGATGATACAAGCAAGGGTGTACAGGTATGGACTGAATTACATGGGTGTGAGTGGGGGGAGGGGAGGGAGGGTTGTCACCTGTTGAGTCCCTGGCAGTAGCCAATGGCTGGGTTCTGCCAGGAGAAGGCCAGTAGAATGTGGCGGAGCTGCTGGAGGGCAGGGCTTGAGGGTGAGGAGAAGTGGTTGTTGGTTGTTAGGGTGCGGTGGAGGTCCAGCTGGATCTGCCTGCAGGCCGGGTGAGGGGACATCCGACTCTTCTCACACAGCTGAAACACAAGATCACTCACATGTGGTCTAGTTTGAACATGCTTTCTAATTTGGGGAGGAGTTTACGCTTCACTAACATTTAAGGGATCAGGTGTAGATCAGTTGTGTACCTGTTGGTAGCGCTGTGGATGATGCTCTCTAATGTTTCTGGTTCTGGCTTGGACCAACCAGCGCCACACCTGCTGTCTGTACACCTGAGGGATGCCGGCTCGCAGCAGACCTTTGAGCTCAGGAGAAGGGAAGAGGTCATTGTCCAATCTGCCGGCTAGGAACTGAGCCCAGCGAGCCAGCAGAGGGCGCTCCACTCCCTCCTTCAGATAAACCCAGAGAGAGAGGGTTTAACCAAAGAACTTGCATAACACGATGATATATGAGTGAGGAGAGCGTGTGTGTCACCTGGTGCATCAGGTTGTTTGAGCGGATCTCCAGCGCCTGGATCTTGGCAAGCAACTTCATGTCCTCCACCTCGTAGTCGGGGATGATCTTGAAGCCATACTCATCGTGGTCTCTGGGGAAAACAGAACCGGTCAGTCAGGTGTTCCCGATGACCCCCTACCCCACCCCACCCCCCGATGAGACTGTCTTTCTTACCTGGCCAGACTGGGCTCCCTGACGCTCATCACCTCTCCCTTCAGAGCTTCCTCGATCATCTTCTGGACGGCCTCCCGCTGTACCGGATCCAAAGATTTCACCTCCTGCAGCTGCCGCAGGACGTTCAGGTACCTGCTCTCCACCTGACAGTTACCTGCCTCCAGGAGTGCACACTGTGGCCAATCAGAGCACAGGAAACAGATTAACCTGAGGAAACATCTAGGAAATAGAACAGGTCCCAGTGTGACCCACCTTCACCATCAGAGTCTTCTCCTGCTCCGAGCTCGTCCTCCACAGACGGGTAAGCTGCTGGATTTCAGAGTTCAGGAAACGATTCTGAGTCTGATATGCCTCCAGGTCGTCCTGAACACACAGAGAGACAGGTAAACACTTGAACAGGTAAACAACTGAACACACAGTAAGACAGGTCTGTGTGTGTGTGTGAGTGTGTGTATGTGTGTGTTGGGCGTGCTGGGATTGTGTGGGGTGAAGCGGTGTTCTGGTCTCACCTTCAGATTCTCAATCTGCTGTTTGAGGGTCTGAAAATCCAAATCCTCTTCACAGGACGGAGGTGGGTCCAACATGCAGTCGGTCAGCTTATCGGACAGTTTAATGATCACCTGAAGGCAAACAACAAAGACAGATTCCTCGACCAATCAACATCTGATTACGCAGTTACAGTTGAGACAGAAACACTCCAATGAAGGTGTAAACAGTAATAATTGTTACGGGAAAATTGCTGCATAGACAATACATGGAACAAATTGGTGTGTGGGGTCACCTGTGCTCTTTAGGTGTGTTCCTCAGGTGTGACTCACCTCCTTCCCGGCTGTGTTTTTCTCCTCCAGCAGCCTGATGTGCTCCTGCAGCTCAACCACCTGAGCCTTACTCTGAGCCTCACTCCTCTGCGCTAACTCCGCCTCCTCCCTTGCCTTCTCCAGCTGGGCCCGCAGCTCAGCCACTTGACGCTCACGGTGACGCAGCAGCTCCAGACGCTCCTGCTCACCTGTTGCCGCCAAAAACTCTGCACATGTGCGCTTCTCTAGTTGAGATGCCTCCAGAGCTTTGTGCAGGATCCAGACCAGCTCCTGAAGAAGTAGATAGAAAACCTCAGAGCTGTCAGTTTTTTTATTTATTATTCTGATCATTGTTATTATTTCAGAGTATTTTTATTTATTTTTGATAAAAAGAAAAGGTGTGTCACCTTCTGAGCTTTCACCTCCTCCATCAGCATCTGTTTCTCCTGCAGGAAGCGACTCATTCGATCTGACATAACTGTGTCTTTGAGGAGGACCATCATGGAGGATGAACTGCGAGTATTTCTCCTCCTGCTCCGGCTCTCCGCTCTGTGCATCACAGGGGATACCTGACCTGTTGGCTCTGCCAATGAAAGAGCAGGGGGTGGAGTCTGAGGCTCACTGGGGGTCCTTGAGGCTGCAGGGACTGAGAAAGGACAAGAAGGTTAAAACTTTAAATACATGATAAGTATTAAATCCATGTGTGAAACACTTTAGGACTTTAGTAGCTGTACTCTTTGTTTTACCCGTACTCTTTTTTTAACCAACTCTTTGTTTTACCTGTGCTCCTTACCTGTTTTGGTGGTGGTGTTTGAGGAGCTAAGGTGAGTATATGATGGAGTCTCTACATGAAACATACTCTGACTCCCATCCTGAGATGACCTCTTACGCAGGCTGTGGAACGAGTTACTGCAACAACAAAAAAACACAGGTTTATATTGTACATATAGAATCAAGACATGAAGCACCTGGGCCGATGGGAAACGTAGTCTTGACAACCTCTGTATTTCAGTTACTCACTGGATCCTGATGAGCGGGTGTTTGATTGACATTCTGGTGAAAGGCGTTTGTTGTGATGATGCGTTCACTGCGTCCTCCCCGACCAGACCCACCGGGCTCTTCAACACGGGCAGGAAGTCATCTACGAGAACAGGAAACAGAATTCAGATTAAAAAACGAATTGAAAAAGGACATAAAACTGGATTCCACACAGAACAAACTGCATTCAATCATCTTAGAAGCTGACACTCACAAAGTATTTTTAATAAATCTTCAAGGAACTAAAATAAAAACTTTCTGAGCCTGTTTGTTGTGAAATCCAGATCAGCTTAAATCTGAAATCTTTTAATCCTTCACAGTCTCACAGCTTTAACCTTCTGGGTCCAGTAAGTGAATCAGCCAGAATGGAGTTTCTACATGCCTGTGTTTGAGACCAGAATGAACACATTTTCCACATGAAAACTGTTATTTAACATCCTGAACTTCCTCCTAGCAAAAAGGAGGCACCTCAGGGCACGCCAACTTCCTAGATGTCACCTCACGTCAGGTGTGTCAAACTTTAATGAAAATGAAACAAAAAGACATTTCAGAGTTCAGGAGTGAAAATATAAAGACCAGCTAGACCACCATCAGTCCAGTAGGACCATATGACCTGTTAGACCATCAAACAAGTTAGACCGTAGACTATCATCAGACCAGTTAGACCAGTTAGTGTGTGTGTGTGTGTGTGTGTGTGTGTGTGTGAACTAGAAAACAATCAATAAAAGGACATGCCACGGATGCCAGGGAGAATAGTGTTTTTCTTTCTTTCACTCTGTCTATTTATTAAATTCTCTCTCTTCCTCTGTCTGTCTGTCTGTCTGTCTAGGTCTGCATGTCTCTCTTATTTAACCAGCCAATCAGAAACAGAGTAGAGTGGGACCTTGTATATTAATTATTTTATAGGCTTTTTATGTAATCATGTTCGTTTTCTACAATTCTACAATTCACTTAGCAGACACTTTTATCCAAAGCGACGTACATCAGAGAATAAGAACAACACAAGCAAGGATCTAGAAAAAAAAGGGAACAATGTCAGTAAGAGCAAACGATCAGCTTTGAGTCTGATTGGACACACAGGTGCTGACAGGAAGTGACCAGAGGCAAAGCACAACATTGAGGGCAGTTCTTGAGAGCTCTAATCAGTATAGAAACCATCTTAAAGGTCGTCGTTATCAAACAAAAACCATCGTCATTACCATCATCATCATCAATAATATGGAGACCATCATCATTAAGTTAGTAGGTATTCATGAAAGAGCTGGGTCTTAAACTTTTTCTTAAAGGTGCAGAGGGACTCTGCAGATCCAGTGGAGTTTGGAAGTTCATTCCACCACCGGGGGGCGACAGAGGAGAAGAGTCTAGTCAGAGACTTAGGACCCTGTTGTGAAGGTCGGATCAGACGCCTTTCACTGACAGAGCGTAGTGGGCGGGAGGGAGTGTAGAGACCTGAATCAGAGCGTTAAAGTAAGGAGGAGCTGTTTTTGTTGCTGTTTTGAAAGCGAGCAGCAGAGTTTTAAATTTGATGCGAGCAGTAACTGGGAGCCAGTGTAAGGAGATGAACAGCGGAGTGACATGTGCTCTTTTAGGAAGGTTGAAGACCAGTCGTGCTGCTGCATTTTGTATCATCTGCAGGGTTTGATAGTACATGTAGGAAGACCTACCAGTAGAGAGTTGCAATAGTCGATGCGTGATATCACAAGAGCCTGTACCAGGAGCTGTGTAGCATGTTCTGACAGGTAAGTTCTGATCTTCCTGATGTTGTACAGGGCAAATCGACATGACCGGGCAATCGAGGCTACTTGAACCTTAAAAGTTAGCTGGTCATCAATCATGACACCCAGGTTCTGGTGCAGACTTTGTGGGCATGAGTTTGATCGTTCCAAATTGGATATTGATGTGTGGTTGCATAGAGGGACTGGCTGGGATGACAAGGAGCTCAGTCTTTGAAAGACTGAGTTGAAGGTGGCGTTTATTCATCCATTTAGAGATATCAGCAAGGCATGATGAGATTCTTGCAGAGACTGTAACATCGTCTGGCGGGAATGACAGGAAGAGCTGGGTATCGTCAGCATAGCAGTGGTATGAGAAGCCATGAGAGCAGATTATTGAACCAAGTGAGCTTGTGTTTATGGAGAAGAGAAGGGGACCAAGCATTGACCCTTGAGGTACCCCTGTGGATAAGCTGTGCGCTTTGGACACTTCTCCCTTCCACGACACTCTGAAGGATCGCCCAGAGAGGTAGGACACAAACCAGCAGAGGGCAGATCCTGAGATGCCAAGTTCAGAGAGTGTGGATAGGAGGATTTGATGGTTGGCTGTGTCAAAGGCAGCAGACAGGTCTAGCAGTAATAGAACTGAGGACTGACCCGCAGCTCTGGCAGCTCGTAGCGATTCTGTTACTGACAGTAATGCAGTTTCAGTACCCACTGATTTGGGTCAGATAGATCAATTGCCTCTCCTGTTGATGTTCAGAGAATGAAATGAGAATGAATGAAAGAATGAAAGTGCTCAGTCCAAACAAAGCCTGACAACGACCCACTATCAATATCTACTCAAGTAAGTTTCCATTCATCCACCTCGCTGACAAGACCTTCCTAGTTTTCAGATCAGAGCTTGTTCTGCTGGCAGTTTCGGATTCAGACTCTTTTAAACTTGCCTCACCTGATGGAATGCTATTTTAGTAGTCTGTTTCTATTATATATTTCTATTTTTTTTTGTTTGTTTGTTACTCACCTTCAATTTTGTTGTTGTTTGTGGGGTCAGGACATATGGACATCTGTCTGTGCTGCCAACGTTTCACCTGCAGCTGCTGGAGCCAATAGAGCATGAGATCCTGGGTGACAGCCTGAGGGGAAGAGATGTTAATCTTGATCGTTAATGCATCACCAGGTGAGCATAACAAGTGTCAATGAGGCATAACTAGTTGGTTTGTTACATTAATATTTCGCCAACTTCCCTGAACTTTTTTTACCGGACTATGCAGAAACATCTACGGAGTGCATCAGGGACACCAACCTTGAGTATGAAGGTGCGTTCAGGTGTCCTGATGTGGAAGGTGCCTCTCTCTGCATTCAAAGGGTAGGTGAAGGTGGCACTGGAAAGGTCCACCTGACCTAGTGGCATCACATCCTGCCGAGTGCAGAAGTAGAACAACTGGTTCTTCTTCTCCTCGTAGGTGAACCAGCGCTGCTTCCAGGCCCTCAGAGGCCCTCCTTGCTTTTCCAGAAAGCCGCACAGTTTTGGCTCACCTGAAGAAGAAGCAGGAGTGCCGGGCTGCACCTGCTCACAGAACACCTCAATGGTGAGCGGTGGAGCTGGGGGAGCCAGGGTTGATACGTTGGTTGCATTAACAGTGGAAAGAGATGGCAGGGGGCTCTGCTGATCTGCAGGAGAAGGTGGTGCCTGCTCAGTGCTCTGGTGAGGAGGAGGAGGAGGAAGTGGTCTCTTATCAGTATTCAGGAGAGGTTGAGGAGGAATCTGCTCAGAGTTCAGGTGAGTAGGAGGGGGAGTCTGCTCAGTGCTCAGGTGAGGAGGAGTCGGCTCAGTGTTTAGGTGAGGAGGAGGAGTCTGCTCAGTGTTTAGGTGAGGAGGAGGATGCTCAGTGCTCGGAGGAGGAGGCGTCTGCTCAGTGCTTGGAGGAGGAGGAGTCTGCTCAGTGTTTAGGTGAGGAGGAGGAGTCTGCTCAGTGCTTGGAGGAGGAGGAGGAGTCTGCTCAGTGTTTAGGTGAGGAGGAGGATGCTCAGTGCTCGGAGGAGGAAGCGTCTGCTCAGTGCTTGGAGGAGGAGGAGTCTGCTCAGTGTTTAGGTGAGGAGGAGGAGTCTGCTCAGGGCTCGGAGGAGGAGGAGTCTGCTCAGTGTTTAGGTGAGGAGGAGGAGTCTGCTCAGTGCTTGGAGGAGGAGGAGTCTGCTCAGTGTTTAGGTGAGGAGGAGGATGCTCAGTGCTCGGAGGAGGAGGCGTCTGCTCAGTGCTTGGAGGAGGAGGAGTCTGCTCAGTGTTTAGGTGAGGAGGAGGAGTCTGCTCAGTGTTTAGGTGAGGAGGAGGAGTCTGCTCAGGGCTCGGAGGAGGAGGATGCTCAGGGCTCGGAGGAGGAGGAGGAGTCGGAGGAGGAGGATGCTCAGTGCTCGGAGGAGGAGGAGTCAGCTCAGTGCTCGGAGGAGGAGGAGTCTGCTCAGTGCTCGGAGGAGGAGGAGTCTGCTCAGTGTCCAGGTAAGGAGGGGGAGGAGTTTTTTCTGTGCTCAGGTGAGGAGGAGTCAGCTCAGCGTTCAATTGAGGAGGAGTCTTCTCAGGCTTCAGGTGATGAGGGGGAGGAGTCAGCTCAGTGTTCAATTGAGGAGGAGGAGTCTTCTCAGTGCTCGGAGGAGGAGGAGTCTTCTCAGTGCTTAGGTGAGGAGGAGGAGTTTTTTCTGTGCTCAGGTGAGGAGGAGTCAGCTCAGCGTTCAGGTGAGGAGGAGGATGCTCAGTGTTCAGCTCGTGTCTTAAGGTTGAGGTAAAAATAGGCAAATGCTTTGATGATGGGGGCTTGTCCCTTTTTGATGGACGGGTAGTGTCTTCATCAGGTCTCTGGATCTGGTTCTGCTGGGATTCCTCTGGTTTCAGTTCTCGTTTGGGACAGGAGGGGGGTCCTGGTTTCTCTTGATCTGTACAAAAAAGATCTTCGTTTGGTTGATCTTGTTTGGCTGTAGATTCTGGTCCCCGTTGATCAGGATCCTGTTTGATAAAGTCTTTGGAGAATGTAAGTTGGTCTGGATTCTGCGCTGACCCCTGGTTCTCTTCAGGACTCTGGCGTACGCTGGAATCAGTCTGACCGGTCTTTCGGTTTTCTTCTGAGGTTTCTGCCAACTCCGACCCCCAGGCAGGAAGTTTGTGAGACGAGGCAGCTCTGGGATTTCCTGCTGATCCCTCCATCCTTCTAAAAACAGAGAGAGAGAATAGGAAATGTTTCAGACTGCAGCTGCAGAAGCACCTTTATTGTATTTCGATTAAATATCTTCGTTGGGGTGTGGATCAGGTTTGAATAAGTGAATAAATAAATACAGATGTAAATGTATTTTTTTTAAATGTATTTTTTTTAAACCTGGATGGTGGAAGATTTCTCACATGTGTTATAAATCTGGAAATGTTTTAGATGAGATGCAACATTTTCAGAACCTTTCCATTCTCCTGATGCTGTTTAATATTCCAAACTTTGGATTCATATTTTGCACATCGAGCCCTGCTCCTGTGTGGTAACAGCTGATGATGATTTACTCTGTTCTGTTCCTGTTTTTTTAGTTTCCTGTTGTATATCAGTGACTCTTGAAAAACTGGAATTACATTTGATTGGAACATGAAGACATGAAACAGTGACCGTAATGGTTTTGTTACACAGTCCTTTATTGTGCAAAATAAAAAAAAACTTTATAAATAATTGGATTTCTTCCACGACCATTTTAGTTATTGTATGTTGTCAGTAAAACTCTATATCCTCAACAAAATCTTTTTTTATCCTCCACTAACATTTAATGAAACAAAATATTTAATATTGTTTAATCAATTCATGCATTTCTATATTGCTATTTTTTTAAAACGAGTCTAAAAAATATTTTAGAACAGTATCTAATGTTCACTCAACTGAATGTTTAGAGAAAATGTTTCTACTCTAATAACCCATAATGACAGGATGTTACCACCCCCACACACATAAACACACACACACACATAAACACACGCACACACACGAACACACACGTACACACAAACACACACACACACACTTTTGTTGGATCAGACTCCGACTGAAACAATAGATTATTCCAGTATGAGACCGGTCAGATACCAGTGTGCAGATGCCTGTTCCTGAATGAGTCTAGTTGGTTGGTTCTGTTGGATGTTTCTGCCTGTTAGGAAGTTTTTCAGTCTCATGGTGGATTCAATTTGGATCTCTGTGAATAAAAGAACAGAGAGAACCCTCTACACCTGAACTCTATGGAGAGTGTCTGAAGATAACTTTTGTTTTGATAAATAAATATGAATTGATGACATCAGTATGAAGAGAGAATCCATCTTTTATAGGAAGAAATTAAAAACGGTTCTATTGGTTGTTATTCTTTGATAAAGAATAATTATACAGAGAAAAATGAACACTATAAATCTTTAAATCATCACACACACACACACACACACACACACACACACACACACACACACACACACACACACACACACACACACACACACACACACACTGCTGTTGTAACTCAACATGTCGGGAACTGTACAGAAACACACCTGAGGGTTTACCTGAAGGGGAGGTGGCTTGAACACACCTTGCTGGATCCTGTTTTATTGACAGCTGCAGCAGAAAACAAACTTAAGAGTAAGTCTCTGTTGTTGTTGCTGTTGTTTATTTCTTCTTCACATGTTACTATTTACATCTTCTTCAAGTCCTCTTGTTACTGATCTTCTTCTTCTTCTTTGTTTTTCTTCTTTAATCTGGGTTTCTGTTGTTTTTCTCTTCTTGATCTTTCACTCCAGCCGGCTGCATTCTTTCTGCTCAACTTGTCCCTTAAACAGCCACTTCCTCTCCTTTGTTTCAAAGTAAGAGCAAATTCCATTGACTTCTTTTTCTGACTTTTCAAAATAAAATCTCATTATTCCAATTATTACATTAGTTGTGATTTCCTGTGGGAGAAAAATCTTCAGATGTCTTAAAATGAAATCATTATATTTACTTACTAATTGAAAAGTTATTGACAATATTTGATCTGTTTCAGTTACCTTAATGGAAGATTTCTCTTTCAGAGACCTCTAAGAGGACATACCGAATGCTTTTTACAGTTAATCAGTGTGAAACCACACTCTTCATCTCTTCACACTTGCCATCTCACTCCACACTCCTCATCATCTCACTCTTCATCACACTCGTCATCTCACTCTTCATCCCACTCTTTATCACACTCTTCATCTCATTCTTTATCACACTCTTTATCTCACTCTGCATCTTATACATCTCACGGAAACAGGAGGTAAAACATTTTTATTTTAAAATCTGTTCAAACGGAGAAGGACTCATCAGAGTCTACAGATCTTAACTATGTTTATAATGATCATTTCTGTATTTTACTTTGAATCTTTGAGTCTTTTTTTACAGAACAGCAGAATAACTTTTGAGTGAATATTTGTTTTAAATTTAAATGTGAATAAACTGAAGTTATAATAAAATTATTAAATCAATCAAGTGATCAGATACCAATTCTTCCTGCATATAAACACATATACAGGAAGTCCAACAGCTGTGACGTCATGTTGTGATGTGATCAGTTTGATGTGTCGGCAGGTAACAGTGGGCCCTTCTCAGACGTCGCTCCGGCTGGACCTGGACAAAAGGGTGACCTTTGACCTCAGGCCTGATGATGAAGATGATGAAGAGTATGACACATGGTTTGATGATTTAGTGTTTTTGCGGCAGCACAGCACATCCCTCGCCTTTTCCCTGAACTCCACAGACACAAAGTAGAATATGAAGGGGTCGATGCAGCTGTTGAAGGTGCTAATAGCTAAGCTAACCATGTAGGGAACATAGATGTCCTCTCCGTCTCCGTCAAATGAGGTGTTGGCATACGTTAGGAGCAGGAGGAGGTTGCTGGGCAACAGACACACAATGAAGACCAGCAGAACCAGCACTGTCACTCGCACCGCATGACCATAGCGCTTCCCCTCAGCCATCAGGGTGCGCAGCACAGCGGCGTGGCAGAACACCACAACCAGGAATGGCAGCAGGAAGCAGACCGTGAATAAGGTGGCGAAGTACGGCAGGAAGTAGTTCTCCTGCTCCTCCTCTGGCAGCGCGTCATGGCAGGTGGTGATCCTTGGCTCATCCAGGACGTAGGTCTGCTGGGACAACAGCAGGGGGAGCATGGCCCCCAGGACCGCCAACCACACAGCTGCTGTCATGTACAGAGACGTGCGTCGGCTGCGCAGAGTCTTGGCGCCAAACGGGTGAACCAAAGCGATATAGCGGTCCAGAGCCACCAGGGCCAGACACAGCACGGATCCGTACATATTCCCATAAAACATCGCCATGACAATTCGACAGGACGCCTCACCCAGCTCCCAATGATTCCCCCGGAAGTGGTACACGATCCGAAACGGCAGAGCAAGCAACAGCAGGCAGTCTGCCACCGTCAGGTTGATGAGCAGCGTGGTGGATGGCTGCGGTTTGGTCCTGAAGACCAGGACCCAGAGAGCCAGCATGTTGGAAGGCAGACCCACACTGAAGGCCAGCAGGTACAGCATCGGCAGGTACAGGACTGTGATTGGAGCCCGGATCTCCTTTAACTGCTTCTCATTGAGGGTGGTGAAGTTACAGGATCTCTTCAACTGGAATGCCCGCAGACCTGCACAGACCACAACACAAGTCAGTCAAGACCTGCACAGACCACAACACAAGTCAGTCAAGACCTGCACAGACCACAACACAGTCAGTCAAGACCTGCACAGACCACAACACAGTCAGTCAAGACTTGCACAGACCACGTCAGTCAAGACCTGCACAGACCACGTCAGTCAAGACCTGCACAGATCACAACACAAGTCAGTCAAGACCTGCACAGACCACAACACAAGTCAGTCAAGACCTGCACAGATCACAACACAAGTCAGTCAAGACCTGCACAGACCACAACACAAGTCAGTCAAGACCTGCACAGATCACGTCAGTCAAGACCTGCACAGACCACAACACAAGTCAGTCCAGACCTGCACAGAGTACAACAGTAATATACTACAGTCGTGCATTTCAGTGACTTTGGTTTGTAACAGAAGTCAACACAGGCTCTACACATCACATCCTTAGATATCTGTTTGATTTGTCCCACCTGGCATAATGTGAATCTCATTCCTGGACAGTGAAAGTCCAGGGTGGCCTTGGCCGTCTGAGTGGCTCTTATCTGATAAACATGGTGCCAATATCTTTCAAGTCAATGCTAACCATCTTTTGGCAAAGCTTAACTAAATTTCCCAGCCTCTTCTGTTAGCAATGCACTGACAGATCATTGTAAAAGTTTCAATTAACTCAATAAAAGACAAAAAAAATTTTTTAAATAGATTTGTCTACATTAAAACCCTTCAACTTTCTTAAGAGGTTCTAATAAAAGTTACTGGGTACACTACGGCTGTGTGTTATAATAATATTTAGAAAGCATCAGGATGTTTAGATCATTACGAACAAGCAAATGTTTTTCCTAACCTTGTGAGGACACTAATTGTAAAGTGTCCTGGCTTTGTGAAAATGATCCTCTCTCTATTAAAATACCAAAATGCCTTCAGTTTGTCAAAACTTCCTCTTTGTCTCCTCTCTTTATTACATGTCCTCATTTTGTTAAAATACCAGCTTGGTCTTCTCACGGATAGAGAAACACACACACACACACACACACACACACACACACACACACACATGGTTAACGTGAGAGTGAAATGTTGGAACAGTCTGATCTCTTGTAGTTGTAAACTGTTAGTGTCTGTAAGATAACATCCAACAACATGAAAAAACACGTCCTGATGTAAAACAGAGGCTGATGAGGTAGACCTGTCCCTACCTGTCTATTTGTGCTGTGTAAGAAAAGGAAAAGAAGAAGAAGAAGAAGACTCACGGACGGCCATGCTGGAGCATTCATCTGCAGGGCGAGCAGACGGAGAGTCACTGCAGACGGACATCAGTAAAGTGACAAAGAGCATGACCCCCAAAAACATCCTCATCATCCTCGTTTCCTTCAACTCAAATTCTTCTTTTGTTTTCTTTCAGTTGTATGAAGTTTCTCACCCCCCTCTCTCTCTTTCTCTGTTCACTGTCTGCCAGCAGCAGCTGCCTCCTTCCCTTTCCTGTCACAGTTCTGTGGTTTATCACTACAACACTACTTTCTAGCACCGTGATAGTTAGTAGGCTAGTAGTAATAGTGTTGGTGGTATGAGCTCTCAGCAGTCTGTTTTCTCAGAGCTGCCGGAGGTGACTCGGCTGCTGATGGAATCCAGATGTGTGTGTGTGTTTGAGAGTCTTGCATGTCTATCTTTGTGAGGACCAGAGTCAGCTTTTACTTTTCACATAAAAAAAAAAAAAAATGCAGTGTCCATTAAGTTGGTTAACTGTGAACTAATTCCAAATAGCCATTCTTTGAAAATGACTTGTACACACGAACAGATTACAGAGATGTGTGTTGGTCCCACCCAAATGACGAGCTCCTTCCTGCAGAATCCTGCAAATTAGGTTCAGCTGTTAGTTGCCATAGCGATCTAATGTGTCAGAAGAGAAACACTGACTCGATTCTATTCATCAAGTTTTATTGCCATTAATGTTACATGAACGATGTTGCCAAAGTATTGTATTACAAAGCAAAACAGTGATCAATGATGTTGCATAAGTGATAGGGATAATTATATCAAATAAAAAACAATCTAAAAATTGAAGGACCTATACAACAACAAATAAATTATTAACCATAATCTGATTTCTCTCTCTCTATCCCAAGGTCAAATTTGCTTTATTGGCATGAGTCATTCAGTGGTGTTACTGCCAAAGCATGTACAAGTCTCTCACTCACTATCTCTCTCTCTCTCTCTCTGTCTTTGTCATCCACACCCTCTGTCTCAATTGCAAATTATCAATTTAACAAGCTTTATTGGCATGAATTTGACAGTATTGCAAAAGCATCAAATAGAGCTCTCTCTCTCTCTCGCTCTCTCTCTCTCTCTCTCTCTCTCTCTCTTCCTGGCTGATAAGCACACGTCCTGTGTGCTGGGTTAGGGTTTGACAGTTTAATTAAACTCTTTCTTGCTATTTGTGCCAATGTTGATATTGTTGTTAAAGATGATGATGATGTTATGTTGTATTGTTGCAAAAAAAATCAAACTGGCTGGAATATCTTTATTATCTGTGAATTTAAAATATGTAATTGAATTTCTTGTTTACATTTTAAATTTATCATTCTATAAGATGTGTTAGTAATTTTATCTTAAATACAGTTAAAACAACAAATTAGAGACAAAAACACAGAAAACAAGATAAAAAGGCAAAAATATAAAAAACACAATAAACAACATGTGACAAACTAAAAACTGTAAATAAAAAAACAAAACCACAATGTTCAGATATTTAGGTGTAAGTGTAAGAAGGAGATATGTTATTGTTTTTTGGTCACTTAAACTTTGTTTGTTTTTTCTCTTCGTGAAGGTTATTGTTTTTCAAGTTTCAGATTTATCTGTAAGACAAATCAAATATAACATTTGATTTACAATAAATGCATCCTGATAATGATTATGTGTTGTTTCTAAATCAAAACAAACTGAGCTGCGCTGTCTGCTGCAGAAATAGAGAAACAAAGAAACAATCAAAGAAAAGATAAATAAACACAATGTCGATGAAATACAAACCGATAGATGAAGAACTGTAGTTGTGGTCAATGATCTGAAGATATCAGGTTGGTCCTGAACAGTCATTGAACATTTTTTTAATTAGTAGTCTAATTGATATTTTGTTTTCTGACTTTGCTTAATTGGTTTCAAAGCAGGTGCATGATGTGCCAATTGTGGATAAAACATATTTACATAGACCTGCCTCAAATCTATAACATATATTTATAGCCTATAAAATGTATAATGTGTTAAACTGCTCCTGCATGTTCTTTGGTGTGTTTTGTTTATGTGACTCAGATTATTGATCATTATTTTGTCATATCCACTGATTACAGGAAGTAGTTTAAAGGGATACTTCACCCGTTGAAACATTAATCTGTATTGACATCGGGTCATACATGTAGTAGAAATGTGAAATAAATTTCTTCTTCTTCTTGGCCAGCTACTGAGCTGGCAGCGGCCGGCGTCCAGCAGTGGCCCCGGCGAGCGGCCAGCAGCTGCCCCTGGCGGGCGGCCAGCAGCATTAGCGGCGGGCGGTGGGCAGCGGGCCGCAGTAGCCAAAACACAAGACCGGCCTTTCAGCAGCAGCCGTCTCGCCGGCGCCGCTATATTTATATTTTTGCCATTATCAGTTTTCTCCATAAAGCCTGTTAGCATAGCTTCCAAGCAATATGGCAGACGTTAACTTTCGATTCTGGGAGTGAGTTCCCACCCACTGATCTGTGATTGGTCTGTAGCTTCATCGAATATGAGGAACTAGCGTTGTAGTTTCACCCCGCTAACCACAACAGCTTCCAGTGATGCAAAAATCGTCATTTTGCATCACTGGAAGCTCCTTTTCAGACTCAGAAATACAAAGATTTCCCATTTCAGGGGAAAATGAGGGCGGGATGCACGACCATTCAAAAATACTACCAGGTTTCTAATGATACAAAGATTAATGCAGATGGGGGAAGTATCCCTTTAAGGTAAATAATGATCAATCAATTATTATCAACATGACGAATGAAAAAGTATCTGACTCTCTCTCTCTCTCTCTCTCTCTCTCTCTCTCTCTCTCGCTCTCTCTCCCCCCTGCAGGTATCGCGATAGTAGTCTTAATCTCAGGTAACACATGGGGTTTAACGTACCCGCGCCCTGTCTGCCGCGTCCCCGTGCCTTTGCCTTGGCGCATGCGCAGTACAGCAATAACTGCTAGAGACGGAGAGGCTGCGTTCGGGGTTCTTCTGCTCGCTGTGCTCAGCCCAACAGCGGGAACAGAACCGGATTAAAAACACCGACACAGCCCCCGGGATCTACGGGATAACAAACATACCGAGCCACCCCCTCCCCCACCCCCACCCCCCCGGACTTCCAGTGGGACAGAGCGGAGGCAGGCCGGGGGTCGATGGACCGGGGAGCCTGCCTGTCTGTTCGCCCTGCAGACAGCGAGACAAAGCGGGACAGAAGACGAGCTGTAAACGATATTTAACAACCCCCCGGGGGGCCACGGTGCTGCTGCTTCATCACTGCGGCTTAAAATGACCTTTTGTTTTGTTTAAAGGGAGTTCTGTAGACAATGTGAGCGGCGGACATCACGGAGAGGGGTACGGCTGTGAAGGTCCAGATGTTGGCCTGATGACGACGCTCCATAATCTGACACTCCGAGGACACACAACAACACGTGCTGCTGGGACACGAAGAAGAACCGTGGAAGACTGAGCGAGACACGGAGAGGACACTCAGACAGTAAACACGGAGGTGAGGACACAGAGAGACATTATTTGATATATAAGAGACACAAGAGGTTATTTAGAGGCAAAGAAAAACAAATGGAGGACAAATCATTTAGTTAAAAATATGTAGAGAGAGAAACACTAATGTAAGGACAAAGTGAAACAAAGGAAATGAACTAAAAACAACATATTTAAAGAGTGAAAGAATAAAAAGACATAAGGAGACATGTTTCAAAGGACAAAAGTGAGTGAATGAAGAATATAACAAACAGAGACATGGATATTTATTCTACAATTCACTTAGCAGACGCTTTTATCCAAAGCGACGTACATCAGAGAGGAAGTACAACACAAGCAAGGATCTAGAAAAAAAAAGGGAACAATGTGAGTAAGTGAGTGATTGGACACACAGGTGCTGACAGGAAGTGACCAGAGGCAAAGCACAACATTGAGGGCAGTTCTTGAGAGCTCTAATCTGTATAGAAACCATCTTATAAGTCGTCGTTATCAAACAAAATCCATCATCATTACCATCATCATCATCAATAATATGGAGACCATCATCATTAAGTTAGTAGGTATTCATGAAAGAGCTGGGTCTTTAGCTTTTTCTTAAAGGTGCAGAGGGACTCTGCAGATTGAATGGAGTTTGGAAGTTCATTCCACCACCGGGGGGCGACAGAGGAGAAGAGTCTAGTCAGCGTCTTAGGACCCTGTTGTGAAGGTTGGATCAGACGCCTTTCATTGGCAGAGCGTAGCGGGCGGAGGGAGTGTAGACCTGGATGAGAGAGTTAAAGTAAGGAGGAGACGTTTTTTGTGGCTGTTTTGTCAGCGAGCAGCAGAGTTTTAAAATTTGATGCGAGCAGTAACTGGGAGCCATATTTAACAACACAGACTCAAGCAGTAAGAGTCAGTTGACATGCAGAGACTTTGAGGACCATAATAACTTGAATGTCATTAAATGCATTTGATTTGGGAAAGGGAGATATGAAAGAAAGATGAGGGCGGGGTTAAGGAGGAGGACACACGTCGTTTTTCTGGTCTGAAGGAGTCTCTGTTTGTCTCCTGACAGCTTGGATGTAAAGAGGACAACATGACGTCCCAGATGTGGACCCATCTCCCTATCCTCGTCTTGGTCGTGGTCTTGGTCCCGTCTTGCTCCGTCCTGGCGGCTCGCTCAGACAGGAACCCGCCGTTCGAGGAATATGTCTACGCCACGGTGAACGCCACGGTGCTGGACGGACGAGGGAACAACATCCACATGATGAGTAGTGACGAGGGGACGTATGGACAGAACTCCCCGAAAGTGGACACCCGGGGGGTCGTCATCGCACCTTCACCACATCACGGAGGTAATTACATCACAGCACACCTGAGGTCAGAACCACAACTGCCCCCCCCCCCGACACAAGAACATGATCAGTGATGAGGTATTGGCGTTGTCCGAGCTGCAGGAGAAACAGGAAGTCTGACAGTAGACTAAAACTGAGAAACAGCAAAAGTCTGACTTGCTCAGGTGGGTCAGGTGAGCAGTGATTAAATACAGGAAGCAAAATAATCTGGAAATAATTTTATGTTTCATTCTTATTAAAAACTAAATGAGAAAACAAACAAACAGAAAGTGTGTCTGTAAACAAAGGGAGCAGAGCCATTGTAAATTAAAACGCTTCATTCACCAGTCATATATTTTCATCAAGTCTCCGTTCTCTGATTGGACGGTTCTTACTGAAATGCATTCTGGAATTCGTGGTTGTCCATAGACTGCTGTTTTATTTTATATTTAAAAAAAACGTTTTTAATCTCCAATTATGATGATTCAAACGGGGTCATTATCTCTCTCACACACACACACACACACACACACACACCTGTGGTTCTGTTGTAACATCACTGAGTCACTTTCGAAATCAGAGCAGCAACATGTTCAAACATAGAGAATGTCCTGACTTTAAACCTCTAATCTCAGGTCATTGCTGCAATGATAACAACTGTTTATTTGTTTATTTGTTCATTTTTTCATTTAAAAAAAACAAGCTGAGATTGTTTCTGTGATACGTTCAGGGACCATCAGCTCGACACGGACAACAGAGAACCAAAGAGGAGAGATAGACATCAGTGTGTGTTTGTGTCAAGTCAAGTCACATTCATCTATAAAGCACATTTAAAACAGCAGCAGGTGACCAAAGTGCTGCACAATGCATAAAATAAATAATATACAGGAGTAAACAATAATTAAAAGAAAACAGAAATAACAAAAAAAGAACCAAAAAAGAAAACATGATAGAAACTGCCTACTCAGGACTCAAATGCTATACAAATATGTTTTGAGGCAGAACTTAAAAGAGTCCACAGAAAGGGCAGACCTGATCGAAGGGGGAAGGCTGTTCCACAGTTTTCAAGCTTTGACTGCAAAAGAGGGACACAGCAGCTTGAGCTGTGAGTGAGGGACTCAATGAAGTGCAAGGGCTTAGCAGGTTGGTTATGTATGGGAGAGCCAAGCCATTCAGTGCTTTGAAAACAAACAGTGCAACCTTAAAATCAATTTAAGGTTAGAGTATTGGGAGCCAGTGAAGGGATGCTAGGATAGGACTGATATGCTGCCTCTTCCTGGACCCAATCAGCAGCCTGGCTGCAGCGTTTTGAACCCAAAAAGAACAGCTTTGGTTTTTGACTTGTTTAGTTGTAAAAAGTTATGGGCCATCCAGTTTTCTATATCTTCAAAGCATTGTAGAAGCGAGGTGAGATCTGACAGACTATTTGGTTTTGATGGGTAGACAAAGCTGAGTGTAATCCGCGTAAAAGTGGTTCAAGAGATTGTGCTTCTGGATAATTAAACCTAATGGGAGCATGTATACAGAGAAAAGTATAAGACCTAGGATGGATCCCTGTGGCATCCCACAGGCCAGACTGGGAGGATGTGGCATTGCCTAGGTTTCCAGACAAAGTGCTGTTCTTCAGATATTAAATAAACCAAGTCAGGGCTGTGCCACAAACGCCAACCAAATGCTACATTAACTCAAATTGTATGCTCAACAGTGTTGAATGCTGCAGTAAGGTCCAATAAGATCAGAATAGCACAGTTACCAGAGTCCATTGCACGGAGTAGGTTGTCATGGATTTTGGGTAGTGCAGATTCTGTGCAATGGGTTGAAGGGCTGACATTGAAATCTGTCTAATATGCTATGATGATGAACAGAGGGTAGCGTTTCTGAATCTGGAATTGGATCAAGTTTATTTTTTTATTTTTTTTACAAGGGCTGCACTGGAAGCTTGTGTATCTCTGCGTGTGCGTGTCACAGATCTGATCATCTGAGTTCGTTGGATTTAGAAACACAGTGAGGGAGAGAACACAGGAAGAAGGTTCCTGGTTTGAGTCCTTGGTCTGATAGGTTTCTTCTGTGTTGAGTTTACATTTTCTCCCCATGTTTTTGGTTCTCTCCATGGCCCGTCCAGAGACGTGTTCGTTAGGTTAACTGGTCACTCTAAATTACCCGTAGGTGTGTGTTTTGTTATTCTCTGTGTAACAGCCCTGTGATTGGCTTGTAATGTGTCTTGTGTAGTGTGTGTACTGTGTAGTAGTGAGGTACTGCAGAGGTTTTCAGGCTGTGTTCAGGATGATGAAGGTCGAGCGTCTCTGAGGTGTCAGGTTACAGTCAGACATTAGAGGACACTGCAGAGACTGAAACACACACACACACACACACACACACACACACACACACACACACACACTATACCAGAAAACATTTATCACAAATGGAAATCTAATTTTATCCAAAACTAAATCTACCAATCAATGGGAGAATTTCGGTAAAGGGAAGTTGAAGAATGCCATTATTGCTGTCATTTTCTGTTAAAGGAGCGATCTGTAACTCCGACATGTAGTGTTTAAAATTGGTACTGCAGTCCAAATTCAAAACATTGGCGAGAGCTGTCTCCCCACGCCCCCTCTGCCATGGAAGCTTCAGTGTTTAGCCAGGTCTGTGTACTTATGAACCTAGAAGGAAGGCATACTGACTAGAGGTGGGGAAAAAATTGTTTTATGAGATTCTTATCTTCAGAGATTTTAAATCGATTCCTAAATTCCAAAAATGGCTAATCAGTCACTCCTTGCTAAGTGCTAAGGCTAGCCATTTAACTCAGTAGAATGTGAAATGGAGCAGCAATAAATTCAGCCAGTCTCACAGATGACTGGGGTAGATCCGGAAGTATGAACTATTTAAAAAATTGACTTTGAATGGATGTATCCAGTATCGTTTTGAATCGAAAATATATTCTGAATCGAATCATGACCCCAAGAATCGAAATCGAATCGTGAGACACCCATAGATTCCCAGCCCTAATACTGACTGCTGCATTGTTGTCAGAAAAGACAGCACTTCAACATAGCATGTTTCCTTAATGACTAATGATATAGTAAGGTCATGTTATGATTCAGATATCTTACATATTGCTCCCTTAATTTAAATGAAGATATTAATTTTAATGAGTCATAAAACTTAATTAACATGCTTAATGTTTTTAATTATAGAAATAGTTCAAGTAAAAAAAAATTAGAGTGAAATAAATGTGTAAAATAAGCTGATGATGTTTTGTATTTTCTTTTATAAAAAACTAAATGTTTAATTATAAATCTCATTATAAAGCAGTACAAAGCCATATAAAAAATGTGAGTACTCCTACTATATGTGAGTAAATGTACGTAGTTTCTTAAGGGTGAGAGTTCGTGGGTCAGTTTGAAGTTAAAACAAACTTCATCAATCATTGACAGGATAAACATTTATATTCAATAACAACATTTAAATCAAATGTTTAAACTGGTTAAACCTTGAAAGCATCACCTGTGTTCTCTGTGTGTCTCAGTGGTGGATCGGCAGGGCTGCGACCCAAACACTCGCTTCCTGGTCCCTCCTCGAAACATCCACTGGGTGGCACTGCTACAAAGAGGAAACTGCACCTTTAAGGAAAGATCCTGAAGGCGGCCGCGTACAACGCCACGGCGGTCCTCATCTACAACAACTCCACCAACAAGACGGTGAAGATGGGCCATGAGGGTCAGTGAATGTAGCACGGATCACACACACACACACACACACACACACACACACAAAACTCAGAAAAACTTCCTAAATTGTTTGGGAGCTGCAATTGTAAACACAAACGGACACATTTTTCAACCTGACCATGGACTGTATGCGCACGATAGGTTTGATATGCTTGCATATAATGAAACTGATTTTGTTTTCTGGTCACCAGTATGTTCTTCTCCCTTCTTTGTTGTATGATGAATATGTCAAAGTACTTGTAGCATTGATATATAGGCAGAAACTGTCATCATAATAACATGTTGAGCGTGTGTGAACAAACAACTTGGACGATTTCAGGGGCAGTCGGTCTGAAATCTTCTAGAAATCAGGAGTGTGTATATGAGCAGCATCTTCCTGGGATCAATCTCAACTTCTAAATATAGAACATAACATGTCATTTATTAATGAGGTCACACTGACCTCAAACTGTGTGTGTTTAGGTGTTTGCACGCTCTGTTAATGTCACAGAGCAGAAATTTTGACTTTAGCTAATAATAGAAGCTTCATACAAATAACACACATAATCTTTTCTCGTCTTTAGGTGCATGTCACATTCACCTTTTCACAGCCAGTGTACACACTGATGGCAGAGGCTACTTTGCGAAGTGTCCAACAGTATTAACTAATCCCAGTCATCAGACATGTTACTGCAGGAGCTGTGGATCAAACCCCTGACCTTCTGATTTAGACGACCAGCACTACCACAGAGCCACAGCCGCCCACGTCTTTGATCTGTCTGGCTGTGAAGTCAGAACTTGACTGTCTAAGTTATCTGGTCCTGATTGTGACCCTGCCTCTCTTTGTGTATAGGTACAGGCGATACGGTGGCTGTGATGATCACAGAGGCATACGGGAAAGAGATCCTGGCCCACCTGGAGAGGAACCTGACGGTCGTGGTGTCAGTTTTGGTGGGCGACCGCGGCTCATCCAAGAACATGAACCGAGGTTCTCTGGTCTTTGTGTCCATCTCCTTCATAGTCCTCCTCATCATCTCGTCAGCCTGGCTCGTCTTCTACTTCATCCAGAAGATCCGCTACACCAACGCCCGCGACCGCAGCCAGGTATTAGGCTAACAAACAGGCTAACAAACAGCTAGTATGCTAACACAGAGCTAACCGGCCTTCTCAAACCAGTAGACTTTTCTGGCCTTCTGGACCTCCTCTGGTCCTCTGTGATGACTCGTTAATATTTAATGAAGTGAATCTCTGCTAATGGAACCCTTTGCCCCCACCCCCACCCCCGATCCACCATGTAATCTGACCCTCGCATCAACCTTGACTTCACCTCCCTGCAGTCACACTGCTGTAAATACAGAGAACAGCCGAGGATGATGGGAGGCCGTCACATCCGCAAGAGCAGGATGTGACAAAACCCAATGCATTCTTGGATATTAAAGTCCATTTCATAGGGTTTCATCATATTCACTGTCCATTTAGACATATCTTTCTATCTATATATTTATATTTATCTATATATTATCTCTGTCTCTATGTTTCTTGCCCTCTTTGTGTCTTTGCATCTCTATCTTTTCTGTCTCTGTGTGTCCATCTTATTTTGTCTCTGTCTCTTGGTGTCTGTCATTTTGGGTCATTGATATTTGTCTGCCTGTCTCTTTATAAATGTGTTTTCATCTCTGTATGTGTCTGGCTCCATCGCTGTGTAACTCTGTCTCTTTCTATCAATAACTTGTATTTGTCAGTCTCTAACTATATCTTTGTGTCTCTCACAGTCAGCACAACATGATTGATATGTTGCTTTGTTTAAATCACACATGTCTAGCTGTGTCCAGCTGTCCACGTTGTGTAACAATGTGTGTGGTAACGTGTCCTATGTCTCTGCCCCTCAGCGCCGTCTTGGCGATGCAGCAAAAAAAGCTATCGGGAAACTGACCACGAGGACGGTGAAGAAAGGAGACAAGGTAACCTTTTTTGCTGTTTTACAAAGTCGAGTCAACTCATTTCCAACTGCAGAACTTTCTGCAGAGGCTCTGATGTCCATTGTCCACCTATAGATACTGGATACGTTATTATATTTTCATTTTTAATATCAGCTCTGAGCCTCCTACCTCTAATGTCTCCTGCTCAAATCATGAAAGTTTGTGGATGACATAAAACATAAAACATCACCATCTCTCCAACCTGTGTGTGTGTGTGTGTGTGTGTGTGTGTGTGTGTGTGTGTGTGTGTGTGTGTGTGTGTGTGTGTGTGTGTGTGTGTGTGTGTGTGTGTGTGTGTGTGTGTGTGTGTGTGTGTGTGTGTGTGTGTGTGTGTGTGTGTGTGTGTGTGTGTGTGTGTGTGTGTGTGTGTGTGTGTGTGTGTGTGTGTGTGTGTGTTTCAGGAGACTGATCCAGACTTCAACCACTGTGCCGTGTGTATAGAAGCATATCAGCTGAACGACGTGGTCAGAATTCTGCCCTGCAAGTGAGTCTGATACACCTGATCATACTCCTGTCTACACATATTCAATAAGACTACATTAAAATTTAGGATATTTTTATAACATCAAGGCCACATTTGGAAAATATATTGTAAAACATACAATCTGCCCTTTTTGACACAATGTCAACAAGTGATAATACATAGAAAATAAAGGCCAGAATCCATTAGGTTAATTGTCAAAGATGTAAGGTAGGCACATATGAGCAGCAATTCAAAGGACCACAATCTTTCTGACCAACTTGACGTGGTCATTCCTTCAAGGTCCGTGTTAAATAGCCTTCTATAAATATTATTGTGCACGCACACACAAGGTTACTGGAGTTAGTTTGAAGTAGATACGGCTGAGTTATGTTAGTGGAACAGGTTGAGACTTAAGTAAGCTTAGTGCTTGTTAGCTGCTTTGATGGTTTTATATGTTGTAGAGTTCATGTTTTGATGTTTGATGTTTTTTTGCTGATCAAGTGTCACTGTGTCTCTGCAGACATGTCTTCCATAAGGTGTGTGTGGACCCCTGGCTGAACGAGCACTGCACCTGTCCCATGTGTAAACTCAACATCCTCAAAGCTCTGGGCATCATGGTGAGTCATCAATGACACCACAGACAGACCTCTGCTGTGATTGGATAAAAAAACAACAAGTGTGTCAATTCCCCCTCTGTGTCTTCAGACCAGTCTTCCCTGCGTGGACAGCGTGGTGTTGGATGTGGATCGTCTCGGTGTTGGTCAGACCTCCAGCAGCCAGAGGGCACCACTGAATGACAGCAACCAGCCGTCCATTAGCCTGGAGCCACTAAGCCCGCCCCACCCTGAGGTCACGCCCAGAACACCTGCTGACATCAGCATCGCTGTGACCAGTAAGAACACAAACACCAAACCATGCCAGGAAGCACACAAGATGACACAATGCAAACTTTATGGTTAAAGAGCAACTTTTCCACAGTTACAGATGAACTTTAAAAAGTTATAATCTGTATCTCAAGTCTCGGCCTTCGTCAAACCGGAAGTAGCTCCAGAGCCCCTAAAGCTTCTTGGAGGAGAGAGGGAAATCAAGGACACAGAAGAGCATACTGTCAGACATGCCCACCCGGTTTCACTTATTGATTGGAAGCTGCAGCGGATCAGACTTCAATGAAACTTATCAACATCACATTTTTCTTAATAACGGAGAACAGACATACCTTAAAACACACAACAGATACTTGAACAGACTATAAACATCCATCAGTTACTAAAGTGTTGGTATAAGTCTGTTAATTCTAGGTCTTAATGCCCTTTTTAATTTTAACATGAAGAGAATTAAAATCTGAGAAATAGGGAGTGTGTCAGTTTAAATTAGAATAAAAACAGTGTACATGTGAGCACAAACACAAACAGCTGTTCAAGCTGACTGACAGCTCAGAAGTGATCAGCTTATGTCATCATCATAAACAGACTCATGTCTCTTGAAACATGTTTCCCCCGTTCCCTCTCTCCTTCACTCTGTTTCCTTGCGTGTCTCCATTTGTTGGGAGGTAGTTGTTTAAAAAAGAGATAAAAATGAAATAGAATAATGCTGAATCAGCAGAAATCTGATTATCATGTTTTCTTCAGTTTTTGGGGTTAGTGGCAGTTTGTCACATTGTCCACTAGGTGGAGCTAATGAAGTCATAAAGTGGTGATGTCATCAGAGTATTACTGTCACCGTTATTCACAGTGAAGATTTAGTTTTTGGTGATAAAAAAAAAAAGTCATTTTGAATTATAATTGTTATTTATTTATTCATTTGTGCATTTCTAAAATCAGAACAGACCCCTGCCTTCACCTGCCACCTCGTTTATGATGAATCTCCCTGCAGGGTTTGGGCCTACTCGATAAGATTTGTCCCGAGGTGCTAAAGGCTCTGGCCATTGTTGAGCTGTCTTGGTTGACATGTCTCTTCAATGTGGCAAGGAGGCCTTAGGCCTGGGACGGTACCTGTGGAGTTGCAGACTAGGGCAGTGGTTCCAATTTTCAAAAAGGGGGACCTGAGGATGGGCTCTTATTTATCGGTACATCACACTACTCAGTCGCTCAGGGAAAGGGCGCTGAAAAGGAGGCTCTGACCGATTGTCGAACCTCTGATACAGGAGGAACAATGCAGATTGCATCCAGGCTGTAGTCTGTTTTAAATAATATACAGTATTAAAAATAATAAATGTGTTTGTAAATATCATACTTAATGATGTCTTCTGTGTGTTTCCATCAGGCGGAGGTGGTCATTTTTTCAACAGGAACACAATGTCTCCTCACAGTGTCGTCTGTGATGTGGAGCTGCCAGACATCCACCCATCACTTGATCTCTATGACGACAACAAGTCCTGAGGCCCATTGTCATGGTTAGCCCCCCCCTCCCCCCGACCCCCCGCCCCAGGGACCACTTCCTGCTGATGGGACGCAGAGGTGTTTCCTGCACGGGGGATCTGAAAACCTTTCAGAGTATATTTCTTTTTTTTTTTGTCCCATCAGACCATTTTAGTTTCCCCAGAAGAAGAAGAAGAAACTCTTTGGAGGACCTGCAGCAGTAATCAGGAGACTTTGTTGAAAACTTAAAAAAAAAAAAATGATCCAAGTTCAACTCCAGATCTACCAGAACCAGTAACCAGATCTAGACTCTGGTAAACTAGACCTGATGTGGTTCTGGACACAGTTCTCAGGGGTTCCTTAGGACCTGGGATATTTTCCTGAGAAGTTTCTCTCGAAGGATGTCAGATGTCTTTGTTGCCCTGATTTCTCAAACAGTTCCCGGGTTCTGAGTGCCTGAAAGTACCTGGGCTCCTAGGAACTTTACAGAGATACAAGAATGTGTGTTGATGAAATCTTTGATGGAATCTGAACAGGTTCCATAAAACAGATCCTCTATCTCTTGAGGTTCTGGAACATTTTTCTGTAAAGGGGTCATGGGTATTTGTAAATGTTTCTGAGGTCTTAAAGAGGTTCTAGAAACATTCCTGAGGTATTAAAGAGTTCCTGGATATTCAGAGACGTTTCAGAAACGCTGGAGTTCTTCAAAGACTTCCTGTTCTTGGAAAAGTTCCTGAGCTCCTGAAAGGTTCCTTAAGTTGTTCACCTAAAACAAACAGGAGCTTCACACCTGGATCATGAATCTGGAACCAGGATCAGAGGAGGACCTGACTCCTCACCTGAGACTCTGGACAAAACAATTGTGAACTCCAACAGTGTTATCTTCCTGTAGCAAAAAAAAAAAAAGTTCTGTTTATGTAGAACAAAGATGTCGGATCAGTCGGAACCTTCAGGAAACCTCCAGATCTGTAAGACAATGTGAGGACGTCCTCAGGGAACCGTCCCGGGGACATGTCGTCATGATACCAGAATTTTGAACTTTGATATGATTCTAGTAAAAATCTAACAATATTAAATCCTGTTTGACATTTCCAAAAAGAAATGTTGCCGATGTTAGACAGTGTGCAAACAGATGATGTTGTTTTTAGAGCCTCTACTTTTTTTTTGATACTGTTGATCATCAAAATATCTGACTGCATTTAAAACACGTGGTATCCAAAATTATTGAACTATTGACCATTCCTACAACCTTTCATCCTGGGTCTTACACTTAACTTACCAATGTTGTCAAAATGAAACCAAATGTTTTTAAAAACAACAAAGTATCAACAGTAACAAAAGGTTTAAGAAACTTGTATTTTGACCCAAAACCTGCTGCAAGAGAAAGAGAGTGATGGGTCGATACCCTAAAGATGTCTAAATTGCTTAAAAAACATTTGCCATGTTTCGTTACCCAAACGTTGCCAAAGTTGTCTTTTTTTTGGCAATTTAGACAGTTTGAAGGAGTTTGTCTGTAGTTTTTTTTTTTATAATTAAAGACAATAAATTACATTTGATTTTTGATTTTGTTGCCGTGGTATCAAACAGGTATCGCTATAGTCAATTTTTACTCTGAACATATTGAAGTCTAAAAATTCTGGTATTGTGACGACCCTACTTATTAAAGCTAACAAAAATGTAAAAGGACAGTGCCTCATGTTCTCTTCTCTACAGTCATGGAGAAGACTGTTAGCTTAGCTTAGCACAAACACAGAAAGCAGGAGAACATTAACCTGCCTACAGTCAGTCTTTAGCTCGTTAGCTCACCAGCTGATCGTAACGGCATCCTGTAGTCGGCTGGTCAAGGCAACACATCTGAGGACCCTGTCAGCCAATCGGAAGCCTTCTTGAGTCAGTTAAGTCACTTCCTGAAAGTAAATAACAAATGGACTGTCCTTCATTGTCAGAGGTCTCCTGAAGTGTCAGACTGCTCCTTTAAAGTGTAAAAACAGCTTGTGATGACTCGGCGTGTTAATAATCAGCCTCAGTGTGGGGATCAATATATAAACAGCATTATACAATCTATAACCTGATCATTATATTATAAGTGACCTGAACACCTGCTGACGGTATGTGTGTGTGTGTGTGTGAGTGTGAGAGAGTGTGTATGCGTGTGTGTGTGTTGCTTCAGTTCACTGTGTCTCTTACTGCCTCAGCATTAAAGTGTCATTATTGCCTTGAACATGGTGCCAGCTCATTATTATACAATATACAAAGACCCAATATGAATCCACCATGAAACATTATCAACAGGCAGAAACCTCAACAGAACCAGACTCACTGAAGAACAGACATCTGCTGAGACTAGATGGATACTGCAGTTTAAGCCTAAAGCAGCATAACTTGGAGTTGGTCCAAGCTGGAGCCACCCTTGACTGAAAGCTTTATTTAAAAAAGACTACTCCTAACAGTACAGAGGGTGTCTACCTGACCCCGACTGGTGGATGATTCCACAGGAGAGAGGCTTGATAACTTAAGGCTCTACCTCCCATAGTACATTTAGAGCAGGGGTGTCCAAAGTGCGGCCTGAGGGCCATTTGCGGCCCTTGAGGGAATTTTTTGCGGCTCATGACTTCAAATGAAGAATCAGAATTTTGGCCCGAGGCCTTGATTAAGATTGGCACATTATCTTATTTTTCTTTTTCATGTTAACAAGGGCTGAACAATATTCCTAAAATAGAAAATGTTCAGTAACATGTATGTTGTTTTTTTGTTTTTTTTTAAATCTACAGCTTTTACTATTTTCCACATTTTTTTGTAAACTATGAAAAAAAACTCAGCGGACTGTTGTTTAACCATTTAATGACCTGAGCTAAAGGCAGAAAGCTTTTCCAAAAAACATGAACCACGTTACAGGCTTGATTCTGAGGAAAAAAAACCAATAAAGTAGAACGAAGAAATCAAAATATTTGATTTCCTTTTATTAAAGGGTTTCTTTAGCGAGCCTTTTGATTCTGATCTACAAAGCCTGACTATTTTTTCAACTATATTTTAAAAAACAAAACCTGTGGCCCGCCAGCGATTCTAACACGACAATTTTGGCCCTCGAAAAAAAAGTTTGGACACCACTGATTTAGAGACTGTAGGTACCACGAGCAGCAGTGGTGGTTCTAGATCACTTTTACTGAGGGGGCCAAACTGGGGCCAGTTGTTTTGTCAGAGGGGAACATTAAACCCAGGTGAAAAATAAACAAAGATGATCGCTTTGAAAATATATTATGCCAAATAATAGTATACTACAAAATAAAATACCATGATTTATATTTGTTTCAGTAACAGTATTTAATACTAGATTTTGAGTCCGGTTGTTGAGTGTTATTAGGGGGGCGCTTCCTTTTGGAGGGGTGGCCACTTGGGGGACCAAGCTCAGTGTTACAGGGACACTGGCCCCTGTTGGCCCCTGCCTAGAACTGCCCATGACGAGCAGGCCTGCATTCAGGGAGCGTTATGTTCTCGAAGGGTAATACAGCACTATTAGCTTTTTAAGATAAAGATGGTGCCTGACCATAAAGAGATTTGTAAGAAGTGAGAAGAAGGATTGAAAAAAATATTCTAAATGTTAAAAGGGAGCCAGTATAGAGAAGTCAACACAGGAGTAATGTGATCTATTTTTCTGCGGTGGCCCTGAAGTGCAAAACACAACAACAAATCATAAAACACAACAACAAATCAAAAAACACATCAACAAAGAAGAAAACACAACAACAAATCATAAAACACAACAACAAATCAAAAACACATCAACAAAGAAGAAAACACAACAACAAAGAAGAAAACACAACAACAAATTACAAAACACAACAACAAAGAAGAAAACACAACAACAAATCACAAAACACGACAACAAATCAAAAAACACAACAAACCAAAAACGTTTTGTGATTTGTTGTTGTGTTTTTTTCTTTGTTGATGTGTTTTCTTCTTTGTTGTTGTGTTTTGTAATTTGTTGTTGTGTTTTCTTCTTTGTTGTTGTGTTTTGTAATTTGTTGTTGTGTTTTCTTCTTTGTTGCTGTGTTTTGTGATTTGTTGTTGTGTTTTCTTCTTTGTTGTTGTGTTTTGTGATTTGTTGTTGTGTTTTCTTCTTTGTTGTTGTGTTTTGTGATTTGTTGTTGTGTTTTCTTCTTTGTTGATGTGTTTTCTTCTTTGCTGTTGTGTTTTGTGATTTGTTGTTGTGTTTTCTTCTTTGTTGCTGTGTTTTGTCATTTGTTGTTGTGTTTTCTTCTTTGTTGATGTGTTTTGTCATTTGTTGTTGTGTTTTCTTCTTTGTTGATGTGTTTTGTGATTTGTTGTTGTGTTTTCTTCTTTGTTGCTGTGTTTTGTGATTTGTTGTTGTGTTTTCTTCTTTGTTGCTGTGTTTTGTGATTTGTTGTTGTGTTTTCTTCTTTTTTTCTGTGTTTTGCACTTCAGGGCATTATTTTCCTAGCTTACTAGACTCACATTTTTAATCATTTGAAGAGAAACATTGAGAGAAAAACACAATATTTCTGTCCCAATAAGAAAAACAAAAATGTTGACCGAACGTCTCCCGCTGACGTAATGACGCAGCGTGCGCCGAGGGCGTGTCGTGCGGTCGTGTGCCGTCGGACCCGGAAGTGATGTGCAGTCAGCAGACCGAGTGAAAACAACAACATCAGCTCTCTGTTTTGTCTGAAAAACCCGGAGCCTCCCGCGGACTCACCGACCTCTCTCCCGGAGCATTCCCGGCGCAGGGTGCTCTGGAGACGGGCAGAGATGTGGATCCATCCCGAGGAGGTGCTGCTGGCCGGAGCTCTGTGGGTCTCGGAGCGGGCCAACCCGTTCTTCATCCTGCAGAGAAGGAGGGGGCACGGTCGGGGAGGCGGCCTGTCCGGTGAGTCAATATCACACACCGTTATAATCTGAGACAGACGACCAGAGGAACACAAAGACCATATGCAAGAGTTTATAGACCACTACAGACGACCAGGGTGCAGGCTGGTCCATACACACCTTTATAGTCTTTAACAGTAGGATCCTCTGCAGACCAAGTACACAACAGACTGATAGAGACCTCCACAGACCGGCTGAGTAATCTACACTACAGACCACCAAAGAACTCTACAGACTAGTTTAAATAACATAGATGTCATTATATTCCCATACACACCATCATGGTACACTTCAGACCACAACAATAAAGCCCTTGATAGTCATATCTATATATTGGCAAAGACCCAGGGGCGTCTCCAGGATTTCTTGGCCCCATAAAAAGATCTCACATTGGGCCCCTTCACTTCAGCCTCAGCAAACCCTGAGACATTACTGCAACCACCCCTCCATCACACAAGTGACCCACTCAAGGGTTTCAATTAAGGTCGTCAACATTTTTTACTTCCTCAGTATTACAGCGGCTTTCCTGAAGATGAAGCCGCTGAGAGGCTGAGGTTGGGCCGCTGAGGTTGGGCCTAATTATATTTGTCCGACGCGCTTTCAAAAGAATACTGTGATACGTAAAAAAATAAGTTTGACTTTTTAATTAACGTAAAAAAAGATGATAACGTGCGTTAACTCATAATCAAAACATACGGCAACCCAGCTCGCCCCCTCTCTTCCACTGAGAACAAAAGGTGAACAGGTGAGTTAAATCAGCACATCTCCGCCCATACCCATGTGACCCGATATCCCCCTACTCAATATAATCCTAATAAATGATATAATAATCAATAACCCAAAACACCAACATATAACAGACTGCTTTAACCTTAAATAAATACTGCAAAGACAATTATATCCATCCATGGCTCCAACAAATACCTTTTCATACCATACACTTTCAAAAGATACATTCACTGTTATCTTATCGATTGGTAATATTAAAAAGTACTGAAGCTTTACATCCAGTCAATTTCTTAAGACAGGTTTGTAGTGAATCCATCAAACACGGCAGGTAAACTCCTGCATGCTGTTGAAATGATACAGATATGTTGGCAACGGTTCCATACAGAAACTACTGCAAACAAAAACTGTAGATTTGTTTCAGAACCGTTAAGGGCAAAGAGAAAGACTCCAGCTTACTGTCTCGCTTTATGCTGACATAACCTTCATCAGGTGTAATCGCCCAATCAGAGAGCCACTGAGATAGATGGTCACCTGACGCTCCTTAGTCCATCATCAGCCAGGGAAGAGTCCAAAGATCACGATAAAGCTCAATAAATGTTAAAAATGTAGCCTGTGTAACCTTTTACAACACAAATTGAAAAGTGAGTTTCATCATCTATCATCATACCGTCCTGGAATGAAAAGTCACAAAACGTGAATGTTTGAATAAATAGGTCGGATATAAAATATCAATCGTCATCAAAACAGGGTTCATCATACATTAGAATGATGTCGAGGTTGGAAATGTTTTCTTGCTGCCGTTTCACCTAATGAAGGTTGTTTAGACCGAAACGTTGTATGATCAAATAAATATGTCAGTATGGAGTGAGACAGTGTTTTACCCTCCTCAGACGTCACCTGTCACACATTTAGGTGGGCAGATATTTTTTTCAACACAAGGAAGAATAAGGGCCCCTTCCTCCATTTGGGACCTGGGTAGTCAGACTCAGGCCCACTTTTTGCCCTCTACTACGCCTCATCATGTACTATGATTATGTTCAGTGTAAATATGTGACAAAGTACTGCACATATCTGAATGTCAGCACTGAGTAAAAAAAATCTTCATTCAATTTTCAATCAATTTTATTTGTATAGCGTCAACTCATAACAAGTGTTATCTCGAGACACTTTACAAAAGAGCAGGTAAAAGACCTTACTCATTGCTATATTACAAAGACCCGGCCTATCCATCATGAGCACTTTAGCAAAGCAGCAAAAGTTACAGTGGTAAGAAAAAACTGCCTTATTAAAAGGCACAAATCTTCTGTCGGATCCCCGGCTCATGATGAAACAGCCTTCACAGGCCTAGACTGCACCGGGCTTGGAAAGGGATAGGGGGAGAGATGGGATAAGATGCAGGAAGAGGGATAGGGAGCAAGGGGATGGGGGGTGTTGTTCATGTCATTAAGCTCAGACAAAGCTAATATCATATAAATATCATTACTAATTCGGGTTATTACCAGAAATTAGACTCTGATATGATTCTAGTAAAAATCTAATGACACCAATAGCTGTTTAAATACAGCAGCAAAAATAGTCATAGAAGTAACAATATTCCTAGACACA